TTCTTGCCGTAATAAGAGGAAGAGCCGTGACCCCTGCCGAGCTCACGCGCGTCGGCATCTGCACCACACAGACAGACAGACAGACACAGACAGAGACAGAGAGAGGGGGAGAGTGAACAATGAGTGTCACGCCATCCATCCATCCATCCATCCATGTGTGTGCGGGCGGGCGGGCCGTCAACCGTGCAATGTGTGTGCCATGATACACGTACGTACCGTCAGTCACATCCTCCTCCTCGAGTTCCCTGTATCCGCCCTTCTTGCCGCCGTACGAGTAGCTCTTCTTGGTGTGAGTCGGGGTCTTCTTGGGCGGCGGGGTCTCCTTCTTGGGTGGCGGCTCCTTCTTGGGCGCGGGCGTGGTGGTGACCTTCTTTGGTGGGGGTGGCGCCTTCTTGCCGTAATAAGAGGAAGAGCCGTGACCCCTGCCGAGCTCACGCGCGTCGGCATCTGCACCACACACAAGACATACCAAGAACATACGGATGGGATGGATGTGGGCAGAGCGTGCCGTCGGTTGCTGACCATCTGCCGTCATGATCGTGTCATCGGCCGCCTGCATATTCATTCGAAGATCCAACGCAACGAAGACGTGTGACGTGTGCACTGTGAGGCCTCTTTGTCTGACAAACAGTGAAGTGTTCTTCTGACCACGTCAGTCAGGTCCTCGGCGGCTGTCTCCGTGAGCTCCCTGGCCGGCTCTTCCTCCTGGAGCACACAACACACCAGGCAGGGCACACGCGTTGGGAGATGCACCCCACACATTCAAATTCATGGCCCCACACCCATCCACGCAGGGCGGGGGTGCAGGCACTCGCTGTGTCGTTCATGCACTCAGATCTTACCGGGAGGGCACATGCGAAGGCCAGCAGGCCCAGGGCAACGCAGGCGAAGACCTTCATGACGGCCGGTGCACTCACACACGACAGACCTGGGGAGGAGGGCGGACTCCCAGGAGATCCGATGAATGAACGGGAGGATCCGGAAAGATCCGGAACGCCGTTACGCGCGTCCGGATCTTTTTCCGTGAAACGCTCGACTTCACCATTTACCAGATTAATCACACGCAGCGGTGGGCTTTGATGGGTTTGTCGTTCAGCGGTGGCTAAATCATGTTACTTGGCGGCAGCGTGTCGGCGACTCCCCGCGGCACCGGCACACCCCATGGCGGGGTGAGATCATCGCACATCCCGCCGACCGTCACACCAGCCCTCCCCCCCCGGCCTCGCGATCACACGGTCAGAGAGAGCGGCGGCCTCTCATCGCACCACGCAACGGCCGAGGCACAACAGTCAGCCGATGGCCAGGCGCCCAAGCGGCAGCGGCAGACGTCGAGGGCGTCCAGCCCGATGGTGCCTCTGACGGGCGGAGTGGGGGAGGAGGGCGGTGCTGGTGAGGCTGAGGGACTCAATGCCGACATCGAGGATCAGCCCGGTGAGCTGGTCATCGCCTGCTGCGGCAACCAGCGAGGGATGCTCGGGTATGTAATGCATTGATGGACGGACGCTGATTGATTGATTGACTGACGGCACCACACCATATCTCCAGCCAGCTCATGCATACCGTTCCTCTCTGTTTCATTCATCCATCTCTCGTCCGTGTGTATTGATTGTGCAGCGTGGCCTACTTGTTCACCAACGATGGCGTTCTAAATCTTGCCGAGGGTCACCATGTCAAGGGTGACTTGCTTCGAGCGTTGAAGGTCATGCTGCTCTCTGACGGACAAGACCCGATGCCCTGCTCCATCTCCAGTAAGTACTCAAGCAAAGCACAAACAAAGCAAGGCAAGCACACCTCGACACCCCATGCTTGCCTTGCTTTGCTTTGTTTTGTTTTGTTTGTGCTTGCCTGTCATCAATGAATCAGTCCCGACCAAAACGGACCCTGAGGTGGTGGAAGCAGCCAGAGAGCCTCGTCAGTGACCGAAACACATACAGGCGACAGCGCGTTGACGGGTCTGGTTTATTTGGGTTGGTTGCTCATGCAGTCATGGACGGCGACGTGGCCACCACTGAGGACTCGCTCAAGGTCTTCGTTTCCAAATCCGCTGACTTCTCCTGTAGGTCAACTCACACGCACAATGAATGAATGAATGAATGAATGAGCAGGCAGCAGGCACCTGTCTGTCTGTCTGTCTGTCTGTCTATTTGTCCTGGCAGACATCAATGCCGTCAACTCTCTCGGGCTCTCATGCCTCAAGATGGGCAGAGGTACCCATCCATGCACACGCCATATGCCGTGCACACCGCAGTGTCATTGATGGGGGTTCTGTGCGGTGCGGTGCGGTGCGCGGTGGGTCACGTATGTATGTCATGTGTCGGCTAGATTCGACTTCCCAGCAGCGGAAGCTGGCGCTGGAGGGCCTCATCGACCTCTCGCAGACTGAGGCGGTGCGGGCAGCCGGTGGGCTCCTCAACTTCATGTCGCGACATCGCATCAACGCCGAACTGGACGGTCGGTGTGCACATGAATACAGAGAGAGGATCCGGGCATATGATGAGGGTTGACGGTCTGTGGTTGGTGTTGTGTGTGTTCCAGAGATTGGCATGCCGTTGGTGACGAAGGTGAGGTCGTTCTCATTCGACTCTACGCTGTTCGTCGACCAGCAAACACACAAAGCCCTTCAGCTGTTCGATGAGGAGCGACACGTCAGCCGATCAACGAACACCAAACACACACACACATGAACGACCCCCATCTGTGTGTGTGTGCAGCCGTCCCAGATCAAGGGCAGAGGCCGGGCCAAGGAGGGTTTGTCTTTGTTCGCACTCTGCTCCAGCTACTGCGCATTCGCAGGCGGCAAGGCCAAGATGAAGGAGTGGTTCCTCAAGGTGGTTTTGGCCAGCATGTGCAATTCATCGCAACTGGTCTTTCAGTGTGTGGTGTGTTGTGCTTGCAATAGCCGAGCCGCAATGACCTCGAGATCAGCACTCGTGCATCGGCGATTGAGGCGTTCCTGGCTGCCAACGCGCAGGAGCTCAACCAAGAAATGCTCAACAACATCCGCCCGCTCAGGGATATTTCACGCACACTCGCTAGGTGCTCACCTCACCCACCGGCAACGCGAAGACACCAACAATGCCGATGTCGTTGGCAGGTTTTCGACGTTTCAGCCCAAGCTGGCGGACCATCGCATCCTCTACAACTTCGCATGTACGTACACAAGTCACGCACGCCCTCGTGAGGGCTGATACATACCTGTATCCACGTCTCTCTCTCTCTTGGCCAGGTCACGTGCAGCAGATCCACAGGGCGATCAGCGCTTTCCCGCATTTGATGCGCAAAGTTCCCATTCTCAGAGACGTCAGCACACCTGTGCACGACAAAACACCTGCACACATACATCAATGCGTCTCCCTCCCTCCCTCCCTCCCCTTGTCAGATCTGCAGGCACACCGAGTTGATATCGTACATACAATATGACCACAGAATGGAAGCGAGGCTCGGTGGTTCATGGCGCTGCTCGTGGGCTGGTGTGTTGTTCAGGTTTGTTGAGGGGATCATATCCGGCACCATCGACCTGCAAGACAGCGCAAAGAAGGGGCGACTCTCATTCAACAGGTATGTTTGCGTGCAAGGATGACGCACACATCTCCCACCGATGCGTCCCTGTTTCCCTCTTGTGGCCCTCAGTGGGATATCTGAGAAGTATGACGATCTCGTACGTGCTGTTGACGGCATGGAGGAGGTACGAATTGCACAGACAAGCGACACAAACATGACTGAAGAGAGAGAGGTTCACTTAACGCATTTATCGATCAGTTCATGGACATCCTCGGCAACCGCGAAAAGGAGCGACTAGTAGGCGAGCATTCCAATGCACTTGTCTACATGCCATCCTCACTCGACGTGATCTGGAGCCCGCATCTGGGTGGGTAGTACGATACATATACATGTCCACGCTTGCTCACATCCTTCTGTGACATACTTGCGTGTGCATGTGTTTGCGTGTCAAAGGGTTTCTGATGGAGGTGAGCCCTCCTGTCCCCGCTGAGAATGAGGGCAACGACAGCAGCAGCAGTGCAGCAGTCACCACCGACCCACCTGTATCCCTGCCCGAAGGCCACCCTGACTGGTACCGAACTCACGGACGGGCAGACACCGGCCCACCTTTCTTTCCATTGCAGCTGGCAGTATGTGTACACGGACGGAGGCAAGACGCATTTCAGAGTGACTTACTTGCTGGCCACACACAAACACGCGCACACACGCACACACACACGAGGGTCCCGTCCCCATCTGGCTGTGTGTTCCGTGCAGAACGGCCGCACTCGTGAGCTGGACGCGTACTTCGGAGACCTGCACAGCAAGTTGGGGGAGGTCGAGTTCGAACTGGCAAGAGATCTGCAAAACAAGATCCTGCCTCTCACAAGCCAACTCGCAGACGTCAACAGTGCGCGCAGCCCCCAGCAATAATTAATGGATAGCGTACGTGGATGCACAGGCCATCCTGTGTCTCCGTCAGGTTTGGTGTGCAGTCTGGACTGTTTGTTAGCCCTCTCGAAAGTCGCCAAAACATTCAACTGGAGACGGTCCTTTGCGCTCGTCTCACTCACACGTGTACTGAGGGTGTGGGTGTGTGCGGATGTCATCACAGGCCTGTCATGACCAACGACAACATCATTGTCATCGACAAAGGCAGACATCCCCTGCTGGTGCGTGTGTGTGTGTGTGTGTGAGAGAGAGAGAGAGAGAGAGAGAGAAATAGCTGTAGAGCTTTCGGCTGTGTGCATATGGCTGCAGGAGCTGGTGAACACGTCATCTGTGGTGCCCAACGACTGCATCATGGGCGGTGAAGTCACACAAGAGCTGCTCAACAAATACGGGTGGGCTGGGGGCACAGCTGACAGACAGACAGACAGACACCCATATACTCAATCTCCTTCTTCATTTCCTTTTCCAGTGTGGATTGTGCCGATTTGGCCAACCATGGAGGTCTCGTTTATCTGCTGCTCGGGCCGAATGCATCAGGCAAAACGGTAGATGCCACCCGCGCGTTCATGATGGTGATGGCATATCGACGCATTTGTATTCCTGTACGAGCAGGTGTACATCAAGATGGTCGGCATTATCACATTCCTGGCGGTAGGAAAACAGAGAGGACACGGCACACACACAGCCGTCCCACTCGTCATGTATCCCTCCCTTTGTGCGTGCAGCACATCGGGTCCTTCGTGCCGGCGAAGGTCAGTATGCGCAGCCCTACATACCAGCTCGACTCATTACTGTTGCTGTGTCTCGCCTTGGCTGCGAGCAGAGGGCTGTCATAGGCTACTGTGACAAGATACTGACGAGGCTGCAGAGCCTCGAGAGCGGTAGGTGAGGCACACACTCATGGGCAGACACCCGCATCTCCTGGCTGGCGAATGGCAGCGTCTGTGGAGGGCTCGTCGTTCGGCATCGATGTCACTCAGCTGTCCTTCGCACTCCACCACTGCACAAGTAATCCATTTGTTCACTCAGTCAGACACGCGCAGAGGAAAACCTGACACCCGGTCCTGTGTCCCATTACTCAGATCGCTCTCTGCTGTTGTTGGATGAGTTTGGGAAGGGCACTTCGAGCATCGACGGCATCGCACTGCTAGCGGGCGTCCTGTCACACCTCTGCTCGATCGCATCCACACTCGATGTATGTGTGTGCCTACCGGACGCCAGGCGACCCCGTTGCACATTGTTGGTGTCTGGTGTTTATTTGTGCGCGTGTGTCTGTGCAGCAAGAGCTGTCTGCAACCAGTCTGAAGGTGTTGGCCACATCGCACTACCACGAGATTCTCAAGCAGAAACTGGTGGGGTGTATGGGCGTGATGCCACCAGTGTCACCCAGACAGTGCATCCTTTGTGCAATCCATTCTGCAGTTGGGTGAGCCGCTGCCGTCGTTCCTTCGTGTGTATGCGATGCGAGTGCACTGCGACGAGCAGCGCAGCGACTGTGTGTTCCTCTTCGACCTGAAACCATGGACAGAGGAAGCATCCACATCACTGGTATGCACGCACACGAGACACAGGTTCCCTGAATGGTGGGTGCATTGCACATCTGTGTGTGTGTGTCAGGGTTTGTTGTGTGCCGAGCGTGAGGGCATCTCCTCTGCTGCCATAATCAGGCAAGGAGACGGACAGACAGGCCACCTCACAACACAACAGGGCTGCCTGTGTGTGTCAGGGCTCGTGAGATCAAGGAATCTTTTCTCTGCGGCCGGCCCATCAAGCGACTTGGCCAAGAGCAACAGCCCGAACTCGTCCAGCAACAGAAACGAAGGTGAGGTACGCACACACACACACAGCCCAACAAACGAAATGGAGCGTTAATCTTGCTTCTGCATGTGCATGTGCGTGTCTGCCTGGCCTGCAGGGCCCAGGTGTACAACAACCTTGTCAAGACATTCCGCGACACAGACTTCACAAAGCTGCCCGTATGCTATGCACCCACTTTATCATCACCCTCCAAGCCACTGGCAAGGCAAGCAGTGTCTCCACTCCCCTGCCCTGTGTGTCTCTCCGTATCCAGGACATGTCATCGGTCAAGCAGGTGATCCGCGAGGCTGCCATGGCGGCATGTCCATCGGTGGCGGCCGACAGCGAGATGCCCGATGATGACCTGCAGTCGCCCCGCACATCATCGCACAAGAAAAGAAGCGACGAGAGCCACGATCACCCCATGAGCAGTGACGAGAAGGCCTCCTCCTTGCTGCATCCTGCCGGCAATCCCACACCCATTGGCACCAGACCGGTTTCTGTCGACCACAACCACACGGGCAGTGGCGATGACGATGCCATGGAAGCACAGCCACAGCCACAGTCGAGCTACCAGCAGCGCCGCACCATGGGCCCCCCACCCGTCGCGCAGCAGCAGCAGCAGCAGCAGCCCGAGCCCCAGCATGGGGTGCGGCGGCAAGATCATGTGCCGGGCAGCCAGCAGCATTATGCCAGGCACAGCTCACCCGACACGAACGACAAGCAGCGCAGGGGCCCACACCATCTCATGAGAAGTGAGGGCGAGGGCGATGGCCCGCTAATGCACAGCATCAAGGGTGGTGGGTTGGTGGATTGTACATTGGTCGTTCGTGTGTATTGTGAGTTCAGGTGCGTCACGGTCTTTCCCTTCTCGCAGAGATCAAGACGAAATGGCAGACGATTTCGACATTCTCAGGTCAGGTGTGGCCACTCACATCATGACCGATGGATGGATGGGTGCATGGGCGTCTATCTGTTGTGTGTGCGTTTTGCTGTCACATCACAGCATTGAGTGATGAGGGAGGCGAGTTCTTAGACATTATCCGTGTCTAAGAACTCCACCAAACACAGCGACACAGCGACCGACACACGGGCAGACAGACAGACGGACAGACAGACAGACAGTCAGACAGACAGACGTCCACGCACGGAGACCACGTGCAACCATACATACCGACTTTCTGCCAGTGAGTGACAAGAAAACACAGCCTGTCTCGCCGAGAGGCAGGTATGTATCCATCCAGTCTTCCCTGCATGATTCATTCATTCATTCATTCTACGGCCCGACCCACCCCACCCGTGGCTGTCTGTCACTGTCCCTCCCGCCAGCCCCACACAAAAACAACCCAGCCCACCGCCCCGCCCATATGTACGTACATCAGCTACCTCACTACCCGTCGGTCGGCATCGTCTGTCTGCATCTTCCTTCATCCGCACGATCGATTCACTCACGTGGCTGGCGGCCCGTCTGGTCGCAGCTTGAGTAGGAGAAGCACCACCATGAGCGACAGCAGCGATGACACCACCATGTACAGAAGCACCGTGTTCCGAGTGCACCAACATGACCCACACCGCCAACCTGTCCGCCTGCACAAGAGCACATAACGCAAGCAACCCACGGCACCGGCCGGCGTTGCATCTCATCTGTCCCTCTGTACCGGTCTGTCGGTCTGTCTGCCTGTATGCCATGCCCCACTACCTGTCTTGCTCGTCAGATACGGCGTCTTCGATACATCTGGGGAGCGGACGCCACAGCCGACCCCTCTCTACGTCACCCTGCCGCCATGCCCCACACGGCACACACCCTTCATTGGTGTGTAGGTGAACAGCCAGCTTTGTGTTTCGGTGGCTGGCTGGGTGGCTGACCTGTGCGTCGAGTAGCCTCATGCTGCCTTCATTGAGGCCTCGTGTGCCGGCATAAAACAAAGGGGGCTCGGGGTCGAGCAAACGATCCACGTAGCCGCTGCGCATCGGCGAACGAACACTGCACGACACACAATCAGCTCGTGCTCAGCACGGAGTGTGCCTTCGTTCTCCTTGCTTGGCTGCTTACTCGTCCCCCTCGTCAGCCACGGCGGGGTCATACTGGGCGTGGTACTGATGGGCATCTGAGTGGTTGAGGCCCTCTATCGGCGGGGCCGGCATCTGATTCACCTGCTCAAACAACTGCACACACACACTCACACAAACACAGCAAAACGCAATGAACAAACGCAAGCAGACCAGAAAGACTTGGTTGGACATGTCCGTCCCACCCACCCACCGACCTGTCTGCTGTACTCGGCATCTGACATGTGCTGCTGCTGCAGCATTCTCTCCTCCTCCTCTTGATACTTGCGGGCGACTGCCTCATCTTCGGCCTGCTTCTGGAGCTTTTCCTCCTGCTCCAGCCGCTCCTGATATTTCTGTTGATGCTGTCGTCTGTACTCGTTGAGCTCCTGCAGCGGATCTCTGTCCTTGGTGCCGCTGTTCGCTGTCAGCTCAGTCATCCTCCTTAACGGACAGGGCGGAACGGGAGGCACGTCCTGTCAGCCATGTCCACCGAAGCGCCGAGCTAAGATCGCATGGTCCGCGAAACCGCTCTCTCGGCCAATGAGAATCTGCGTCGGCTGAGTGTCCAAGACGTGACGGCCATGGATGAGGTGGCAGCCAAGTTCAACGCGGCTCTCGACCTCGATATGCGCGAGGGCGGCAAGGGTGCTGCTGTCGATGACCTGGACGACGACGCCCTGTCAGACTGCGAGTGCGGATGTGACTTCAAGTCTGAGGAGTGCCCCGGCATCGGCAGGCGGAAGAGCTCATCGGGCAGCCATGAGGAGGGGTTCGTCACCGATGTCGACTCATCGCCCTCAGCGTCTCGGGGTGCATCTGACGACGTTCAGGAGGCGGGGGGTCAGGCTGACCAGGTAATGAGACGCATCTGAGAACAGGGAGAGGGAGGGGAGGGGAGGTGGGCAACTGTCGGGCCGTCTTGTCTGTGTGTGATGCAGGGGAAAGATCAAGAGAAGGCTGAGGCGGCGGGCGGTGTGGAGGCGGCGATAGACATCGAGCCATGTGCGTGTGGGTGCGAGAGCAGTGAGGGATGCCCAGGATTCGACAAGACGCCGCCAGACGAGCCGGTGGTGCCCCCCCTCCAGACAGCACAGGCTGAGGGCAGCTCCGATCTTCCCCCCTCCCTCTCACAGCCCACATCACCGGTCCCACAGAGCACCAGAGGCCCCACCGACATCGACCAACACGTGGTGCAAGCCAACCGGTGAGTCAGGACAGGACAGACAACACGCAAGACACACAGCCACACGGACATGGACACATGGTAACTGTCTTGTACGTATCCTGAAACATGCTGTGTGTCAACCAGGATGGCCGACCTGCCTGTCGCCAGCCCCGACCCACCCGCATCACCTGTCCGTCCCGCAATCGTGGGGGCTGCCCCATCGCTGCCCCAGCCCCCTCCCCCTCCCCCTCCCCCCGGCCGCTTCGAGTGCCGTGACCCGGCATGCTTCATGCCTCTCGTCCAGAGCACCATCCATGCCCCGCCCAGCATCGTCGCACCCGAGTGGAGGCAGCCCACTGTGTCGACGCCCCCGGCATCCACCGCATCGCCGTCTCGGTCGGTGCTCAAGAGCCGCAAGATCTTCAACGCGCCGGCCAGGAAGAGCACAGCCGAGAGGCTCAAGAGCGACAGTGACGACAAGGGGAATGCGTCGTCGGGGGATACGCTGCCGTCGCTCTCGTCGATTCTCCTCGGCAGCAAGGAGCCACAAGCGACGGTCGAGGTCTCTGCGAGGGCGGCCAGCGAGATGCCGGCCCCCGCTGAGCGGATCAGCAACAAGGAGAGGGATAGCCGCGTGTGGCGTATAAGTGCAGAGGACAGCGACCTGGACTTCGCCCTCAAGCGAGTGGAGCCCGAGAGGTTTGCGGCCGCCAACGCAGCGCAGCAGCCCGACACACGCACCTCGTCGTCTGGCCCCGTACTCCGGTCCTCCTCCGAGGCGACAGGCGGCTCCAGCCCCCAGAACCGCGACTACCCCCCTCTGTGTGTCATCGACCAGTGGCTGGGCCGCCAGGGCCCGCGCGACATCGAGGACGCCCCCATCCCCCTCATCGGCATCCACATGCGCAACAAGCGGTCCGCTGGCAGGGGGCAGGAGGGCGACCAGGCCGTGTCGTACGACGGTGACCGCGTCCTCATCGACGACGACCTGGACGAGGCCATCGACATCGAGCTCATCGAGGGGTGCGGGGTGGCGGCGCGCGAGGCCACCGAGGACGACAGTGCGGGACGGGAGGGGGCTGGCAGGCTGGGCGAGGGCGGCGATGACACAGATGGGGCCAACAAGAAGAAGCGGAAACGGCTGAGGATGTGCAAGTTCTTCAAACAGGTCGGTCTGTCTGTCAGCCAAGGAGGAACCAATGGGTGCAGCTTAAGCAGCCCCACGTGTGTGTGTTGTCATGTCATCGATGCATCCATCAGGGCATATGTTCGCGGGGTGCGTCGTGTCCGTTTCTGCACAAGACGGTGCAGCAGATGCTGCTGTCGGTCGATGACAACCCCAAGCTCAAAACTCGAATGTGCCCATTGCTCAAGGCCGGCATCTGCAAGAGGTACGTGTGGTGTGCACAGCACAGACCATCCGACAGACACCCTCACACACAGCCCACCCCACCCCACCCCACCCCACCCGATACATACCGGTGTGGTGTGTTGTGTGTTGATATATTGGATTCAGGTCATCGAATGAGTGCAAGTTTGCCCATTCCCTGGAGGAGCTGCGTGGCACCGACGACTTGTACAAGACCCAGTTGTGCGCCTTCTGGCTGGCGGGCTACTGCCGAGCGGGCGACTCGTGCAGACACGCACACGGCGAGCAGGACCTTCGCACCTCACACAACAGCACCCCATGTGCCTCCCCACCCCCTGTGTCGGTCATGCCGCAGCCGCTGCCGATGCCCCCGTCCTTCCACCCCCACTACCCACCCCCACCACAGGCTGCCCACATCATCGTGGTTAACCAGCAGCAGCAGCACAACATCGCCACGTTCCCGCCACCCATGAGGGTAAGTAAGAGGGGCATGACTGACACGACACACGAGGGAGGGAGAGAGGGCGTCATGTCATGTGGGGGTTGCCGCCATTCGTCTGTTTGTGTTGTTGTGTGTTGTGGTGGTTTGTGGTGCGTCAGGGTGTCCGTCCGCTATGACGTTGGGGGCTTGTTGATGGCTGGCTGGATGGAAGCATGGATGGATGATTGGTGATCGATGGCCGGTGCTCCGCTGCTGCTCCTTGCCGTGTGGGGTGTGTCTGGAAGACGTGCTGTGTTGATGTGCGTGCGTACGTCAGTGTGAGTGAGTGACCCAAGAACAGAATTTCAGCTCCCCGTGACGGGAGACGTCTGTTTGCTCACTTGCATACATACATGCCTGCCTCCCTCGCTCTCTCTCCTCTCTCTCCTTCCCACTCACTCACTCACTCACTGTTGTCTCTCTCGTTTTACTTTACATATCAATTGATATTCCATACAGCCAGACAGACAGAAAGACAGACAGACATAGCGGCATACACGGCGATACGATGCAGGGAGCTGGTGCTGGTTGATGGATGCATGTGATAAATGTGTTCGATGGACGCACGCCACGCCGCACGCACAGGAGCCAGAGACGAAAGGAAAGGGGTGCTGGTGGTTGATGATCGATGGTGTTCGCTGGAGTCTCGCGGGCGTGAGCCGGAGACAACAGATGGATGGACGAAAGACTCATGTGTGGTGTGGTGTGGTGTGGATGCTGTTTGGGTGCCAAGGGAGTGGGCGGTGTGGCCGTGAAGGACGGACTTGACCTTCATTTTGGTGGGGTGGATGGTGAGGGTGGGCGGGTGTGTATAGGCAGACCCACTAGCTAGCTGGAAGGGAGCGATGACGGACGGACGGACGGACGGACGGCCTTGATCCATTCATACAAGACACACAGACAGTCAGACAGACAGACAGACAGGTACATGTGTGGGGACGGACCAGTGACGTCGATGAGTGACATTTTTTTGCCCGACATGACGTCGACCATAGCAAACTGAGATGAGAGACAGACCCCCAACGTCACCCACACGGGGGTGGATGGATGGATGGATGCACCGATTGGGGCCATTTATAAGTCACGCACACATACACAGAGAGAGAGAATTGAGAGAGAGAGAGAGATCGCTCGCTGTGCAGACAACAGTCGGATGGGGAGAAGAACCAGCGGGTGGGTGGGTGGGTGTCTCCCTTATTATGTCTGTCCAGTGCATGTCGTGTCGTGTACGTGTCCTTCCTGTGTGTGTGGCATGCTTGATGTGATGTGGTGTGTCGCTGATTGTGTGCGGTGCCGTCGGTGTGTGGCGAGTTTGCAGGACACGGGAAGTCCACCAACAGCCACACACCGCCAGTCTGGTGTGTGTATGTATCGTTATGACGTTGCGCATGACCTGACCGGACCAAGCGGCATTCTGATGACTGACACCTATGCGATGCCATCTATGCTCTGCTGCTGTGTGGGTGCGGTGTCTGCACCAGCCATGGCGTTTGCTTGCTTTTGTCGCTGATCATGATCATGCCGACAGACATGATGGGATGTGATGTGCACGCCTTTAGTGCCCTCGTGACTGACACAGCCGACCAACTTCTCTGACTTGCTTGCCTCCTTGGTTGCCGTAGGCTGGTCGTCTCTCCAGCTTGCGGCCGTCAAGGAGGAGCATGAGCTGGGGATCTTGGTTGGCCCTGGCAAGAGAAGGGATGGAGGTGCTGTGATGAGTGTGTGCGTGATGTGCATGTGGGGTGGGTGGACCGGACCTACCTGCTCATATCGAATTTCGAATTTGCACCGAAATGAACTGACACGAGACGAGGCGGAAAGGGACAGCACAGCATCCAGCATCCATCCATCCAACACATGTATTCCGAGCAGATCGGGTGGGTCGGGTCCTACATCCATCCGTCCGCTCATTCCAGAGCTGTCCGTCTGTCTGTTGCCCTTACACTACTGGTGGGGGCTCAGCTCACACTCGACAGACAGACATGCACTCACGAAGACGCGCACGCACCCTCACGGAAAGGAAAAGGAGCCGATAAAGACAGCAAAACAGCCACAGAAAGCCGATAAATATTCATGGCGTGGATCACCGATCGCCCGCCCAAACACATGGCATGCAGGGGATATCAGAACAATCGATCGAGCTGTCCATGTACTCACTGTACGTCTGTGTGTACGTATGTGTGTTGTCATTCATGTCTGCTGTTCAGAGTACGAATGGGTGTTCAAGCAGCTCGGCCGCCTCTGGCCTTGCCTCGGGGTCACGCTGGAAACACCTGCTGAGGAAATCCTGGCAACACACTGACAAATGAGACGGAATGGGCGGTGTCTCCTGCAGCATTGCACACACTCCCCACACAGAGAGAGAGAGAGAGCGAGCCATGTAATGAATGTCTGTCTGCAACACACACGCGTGCCTGTGTCATGGCGATTTTGAACATGGCCGCGAGTTCGTTGTCGAATTTGAAGGTGTCCGTTTCCCAAGGGTGCCGTGCGGTGGCCATCTCGACTATGACGCACCCCAGCGACCAGATGTCCGCCTTGCGCCCGTAGCCCTTCTCGCCGCCCTTCATCACCTCGGGCGCCATCCACAGCACCGAGCCTGCACACACACACACGGGGCACCATGTCTCATTTGGCGTCGTTTGTTTGTTGTGTGTTGCTTGCCCTTCATGGTTTGTGCCATAGAGTGTTCGCTTCTCTTGGAGCATCCGAAGTCGGTCAGCTTGACGGTGCAGTGCAGCCCTATCAATATGTTGGCACCCTTGATGTCACTGAATGAATGAATGGACGGACCAACACACACGCACACACACACACACATACATCAACACAAGACAGACACACCCAGGTCAGGTTGCGTTGCCCAACCAACTCGAACGCACCGGTGTATGATGTTCTTGTTGTGTAGATATTGTAGTCCCATGAGTATTTGTTTGGTGTAGGTGGCGATGAGGGACTCGTCGAAGGCCCCAAACTGCTCCAGGGCCGCCGCCACACTGCCGCCCGGCATGTACTCCAGATACACATACAAACGGTCACCTATGATGTCCTTCCCTACACACACACACACACACACACTTTCCTTTGTGAATGTGTCTTTGTCCAACCCTGCTGGCCCACCATAGTAGTGACAGATGTGCTCGTGCTGCAGGTCTTCAAGCAGCGACACCTCGTGCTGCAAGGCCTGCACACACACAACACGCAACCGCACAGACTCACTCGTCTTGTGGCGTGTCCGCCGGCCTGCCAGCCTGCCTGCGTGCCCACCTCAGCGAACATTTTGTCTTCCTCGCTGTGGGGGTCGATGAGGACCTCCTTGACAGCCAACGTGCCACCGGTCTTCTCATTCAAACCCTTCACACAATTGCACACAACACAGCGGACCCGTGTTATGTCCGTCCCCAGTGCCCTCCCTCCCTGGATGTCTGTCACTCATGTGTGCGGTAGATTGATTTCTGTACCTACGTGGAAGACTCTGCCGAGTGAGCCCACCCCGATAGTGTCTCCTCGCAGCCAGCTGATGGTCTGTCCCCGCAGACGGCGGGGCGTTGCTGGCACAGACACCCCCGGACTGCCGCTGCCGTCCTTGGGCGATGAGGACGAGCCGTCCTGGTCAGGCTTGGTCACCAGGGGAGGTGGCGGCACCCAGCTGCGACGCTCACCTCGGACGGGCTCCTCTGGAGGGTGGTTAGACTCGGCGGCGGGGAGGCCCCCCTCACGTGCTGTGTAGAAGAATGCATCCCTGTCGACGTCCGATTGGGTCTTGTCATCCTCGTGGGTTTCGTCCTTGTCGTTGTGTTGTTGGCCCTGTTCTTCCTCCTCCTCCAGTGGGTAGAGTGAGGTCCTCTGTGAGATGCAGTCGTTCCAGTCGGAGACGAAGCTGCCCCTGGCGTGTGTGTCGTCGTCCCACTGGGAGGTGAAGACCGACAGGCTCTGACGCACGTCGATCCCGTGGGTCTGCAGCAGATCCAATATGTTGAACAGCTGCTCCTCGTCCACATCGTCGTTGCCGCCACTGCTTTCTCCTCCCGCATGGCGGTCGCTCCTCGCTGTCTTGCCCTCCCTTATCATCGACAAGGCCATCGGCAGGTGCTTCGCAAACAGAATCACAGAATTCCTCTCTTCAAGATCAGACACATCGGCCTCCGAGAGGTCTTCCCTAATAGAGATGTCCGAGTACTTGAAACGTGGCGGGGGCGTCCTTGAGCCTTTGTTGCTCCTGTGCTCTGACTGAACCGACTGCCGTGAGCCTGGACCGGACGACGATACGGTGTCCTGGTCTTCCCTTTCGACTGGCGTGCCTGGCTCGCTCGTGGGCTGCTCCAGCACACCCACAGCAATGCCCGGAGGCTTGTTGGCTGCCGCGGGACCCCCCTGGCTGCTCTGGAAGGAGCCCCAGACGGGCGTCTGGTTGGAGGAGCTGGATGTGCTTGAGTCCCCCGAGGATTTCTTGCCCTCCATGGCCGCGCTCTGCAGCACTTTGACCCAGCCAGCCGCCGCCCTGTCGGGTCTGCCGCCGGAACCTGCCTGGCCCCCGCTGCCTTTCTTGCCCGCCGCTGCTCCTGGCGGCAGCAACAGCTTGTTGGCCGCCTTGCCAAGCCGCCCACCCTTGCCCGCCTTGTCGAAGGGATTGTTCTTGAAGAGGGCCATGAACTTGGCGAAAGCCCATATCTCCGCCTTGTGCTTCTCTAGGGGCTTGACAGACAGAGCCTTGACGCCACCCGACGGGCTCTTGGTGGCCTCCACATTGCAGTGTCTCAAAGGCTGGTGATATCTCCTCGCCCGCCCCTGGGGCTGGCCGTGTGGAAATGGTGGAGGGTTTGGCGGCGGCCGCACGCCCACGACCACCATCTCGACGTTGCTGCTGCTGGTGGGGGGCGGGCTGGATGCAGCAGCGGATGTTGCTGTTGCTGCTCCCCCTTGCGCAGTCCTGGTGTTGCTGGAGGGCGAGGTGGTCCTGGCGGCTGGAGATGCGGGGGGGAAGGGGAAAGGGGACGGGGCGTCAAGTGTGCGGAGATCACGGTGCTCACGATACACTAAATGACCAAACCAAACCGGCATGGCATGGCATGCAGGGAGGGAGGAGACACACATGAATGCATCCCATCGTCAGTCACCTCTCGATGGTGACTGCGGCGGCATCCTGGTGGTCTTGGTCTTGGTCATTGGCGAGAGTGCGTGGCTGGCGCTGTGTGCCGGGAACAGCGATGCCAGGTCGATGTGTGGCAAGTGCGCCGCCTTGTCGTTGCGCCTTGACGACAGCACCAGCGGAGAACTGAACGCCGCCGACAGGTCCAGCGGTGCGGGCGAGAGGGTCTGTCTGTTCTGTCCGATGCTCGTGACGCTGAGGAGGTCGCTGGACAGATTCAGCCGGGGTGCGCCCTGCCCCCACATGTCGTTGTGTCTGCCGCCGTGTGGAGGGCCCGGTGTCAAAGGTCTCGGCGGGGGGGCGGTCTCAATCGCCACATACGAGCTGGCGGCTGCCGCTGCAGCAGCGGACAGAGATGTCTGCAGCGGAACACACACATTGTCAGAGAGCATGGCAGCAGTGTGTGTGTCTGACCGATGGATTGGCCGTATGGGCTCTGTATTTCCGTCGCGTTGGTGAAGTTGGCAGCCCTCCTGGAGGGAGAGCCGCTGGAGATGCCGCAGAGGACATCGCAGCGAAGAAAGAAGCGACCAAAGGAAGGGAGTGACCGTCGAGAATTTTGCGAGCTCTGCGAGCTCATGTTCTTTCTTCCCGTTCGGCCAAGCCACTGCTGACGGTTCGCTGACTGAGCAGCATGGTTTATATGAGAGATCTGGCTGATTGGCTGACTTGAAGTTGAGCTTGAGTGTACAAGGCGATGGTGCTGCCTCTGTGCCTGGAGGCACTTGATTCGCGTGAGGAGGCCCTCGAATGCATAGACGCCATCATCAAACACAAAGCGGTGGGCCAGATGCACGTGCATGTGGCACTGAAGATGACTCACAACAGAAGATAAGCTGTGCTCGTCTGTGTGCGTCTGCGCGTGTGTGTCAGGAGGAGCAGTCCTTCCAGCTCTCATTCGACCTGTCCCGGTCGTCCTCGACCATCGACAGCCCGGCCATCGAGTTCTGCCGACACCGGTTTATCGTCCGCCTGTCGGCGTCGTCCACCCATGCTGTGTCGGTGTCGGTGGTGCGGCTGACACAGTATGAAGGGTCCCTCAGCTTCAAGGCCGAGGCTGGCGGCGGGCAGTCGACGGAGATGGCATCGGGCGACCTGACGAGGGCTGACAGTGTGCATGCCAAGACGACTCTCGACATGGGTGAGAGTCCCGGCAATGTCGAGGTCACTGTGCGGCTGCTCAAGGGGCCCAGGGTCTCCTGCACACACACTGCTGAGGTCAGGGAAGAAAGACGGAGGAAGAAAGGGAGCGACAGAACCAACCATGCACAAGATAGTTAGATGAGGTTCCCCTTTATTTCTCTGTATGTGATGTGTTTGTCACTGTCAACCAGGGTGTGCCTCTGACCCAGTATGTGGTTCGTTGGGAGGACGTGTCGCTGATCGACATGGTGTCGCAGGCCGACGACAAGATGGTCTCCGTCCCCATCACATCCACACCGACCCCCTGTGTCGCCACGCTCAGGCCCAAGGGCATCCGGGGCGACGGCAGGCCTGTCGTCTCACTCGAGGCCACCAACACCAAGGGCACCGCCGTCGTATTCGTCGCTGAGGCGGCCGGCCGGACCTCGCCCCCCCTCCCCAGTGCTGAGCCCTTCCAGGTGGACAGGCGGCAGTTTGCCAAGGCGGCCATGAAGGCCGGCGACGCCCTGCTGATGCACCTCACCGTCGTCAGGGCGCCGTCCATTGTCGTGCTCGAGAACATACAGGTGATACATACGGGACAACAAACACAGAACAATCGTGGGTTGGATCAACGGGTTGGTATGGTATCTGCTCCGTCATGCTATGCTATGCTGCAGGAGGCGTGCACGTTCGAGCTGAGGGTAGACGCCTTCCCAACGCTGCTGTCATACTGCCGCCCCGGCGACTCGCTCCAGCCGGCCACCCCCCTACAGTGGGGCGACAGATACGTGCGGGCAGTCCTCTACCCACGAGGCCGCGAAGGCCAGGGCAAGGACAAAGACAAGGCGGTGCTGGAGATCACCCAGACGAGCGGCGGCAGCGAGCTGGTCACCCTCATAGCCAAGGTGGATGACGTGTCGGGGGGGCCGCCGCTGACACTCATTGCCGACGAGCCATCGAGGGTGGACTACTTCACTGGCAGCCACCTGGAGGCGATCGCTGCCAAGGCGCGGGGGTGCCTTGCCATCAAGATCAGAATGATCAAGGGACCCACCATCAAGGTGGGTGAAGTCGCAATACACACCAAACCACGCAGGGCAGGGATGGCGGGCATGGAGTGCGTGTGTGTTGGAGCAGTCGGTGGATGGGCGGAGCAGCTGGTCGTCCTTCAAGCTGCGTTTCCCCCACTTCAGCGACTTCTCATCTGCGTGTCTGCGGGGCACGGCCATCCAGTCGGCGGCCTTCAGCCTCCCAGCCATGCATATCCACCTCTCGGACCTGCTGCCGTCCCCCGCCCCCAGAGGCTTGGCCTCCCTCACCCTGCCCAGCAAGTCCTTCGCACTCCCCAGGGAGCTGCAGCTGCTCCTCTGTCCACGAGGGGACCAGAAGAGCGAGACCAAGATGGCCGCACTCTACTTGCTCAAGCGAGACGACACGGGGGGCGACAAGATGCGAGGGAGCAAGGAGGCCAGTACCAACGGCACAGCGGCGTATGAGGCGTCGTCCCTCAGTCTGGTGGCGGAGATGGGCTCCAAGCCATATCCCCCCGTGGTCATCTTCTCCAACAGCCGCACTGACGGACGGCGTGACTTCTTCGACGCGGATGCGCTCGAGAGTGTGGCCAAGGGCAACAAGGGCGCACTCGAGATGACGGCACACATCATACCCGGGCCCTTCCTCGTGGAAGACTCGGCGGTGAGGGAGGGGACACACAACAAGACAAGAGCAGGACAACGCGGGAGACTTGACTTGCTGTCACATACTGATTGTGTGTGTGTGTGTGTGTAGATGTCTGGTCGGTTCGCCTTGCTCATTCCAAACTACGACCTCATTGCACGCGCAAGCATGCCCGTAAGACACACAGACACACACACCCACACGGACAGCAACCACGACGAACCGACACTCGTGTTCTGTTCTGAATCCCCCCCCTCTCTTTCCCTCCGTCCGTCGTCTATCTGTCTATCAGGGCTATGCTGTTGACTTCGAGCCGTTCCGTTTCCACGACAGCGTTTTGCAGGCGCTGCTGTGCCCGGCAGGGGAGTCGGGCAGCGCATCCAACAGCACGGCGGCCTTCTACCTCGAGTGCTGCCGCCGCAAAGACGGCGAGGCCATCACCTACAAGACCTCCTGCAATGGTGGGCAGCCGCGTGTTCTGGTGCTGCCCCCCGGCACTGACTGCATGGGGTCGCCTGACCTGTTCGAGCGTGGGATGCTCACGAGGGCGGCGCAGGAGACGGGCGGACTGCTGGCCATACAGCTGGACCTGCTCAAGGGAGGACTGCAACTCAAGGAAGAGGTCAGTCAGAGGGAGAGAGAGGGAGGGAGGAACGGCATGCCTGGCCATACACACATGACATGCCCACCCACACTATAGTGTGTTGTGTTGATTGGTCGTGTTCAGAGTTCGAACCGGTTCATTGTGCGAGTTACCAACCTCAAAGGGCTGCTGTCTCTGTGCGAGGATTTGGCTGACGACGAGCCCCTCCAAGGCACGCCCTTCGACGCCTTCGGTGTGACGCTGCGGCCCCTGCTGTACCTTACGACCCGGTCGCCCGAGCACATCGGTCTGTTCTTCTCAAAGGACGACTCCCCCAGTGCGCTGATATGCGGTGTGTCGTCCAACACCACCAAGTGCGCCCCCCTCCTGCTGCCGAGAGAGAGGGGCTTGGTGGGTCGGCCTGACATGCTGAACAAGGCCCAGCTGCTGACCGAGGCAGAGAGGCAGGGCGGCGCCGTGGACCTGACAATGGACATTACCAAGGGACCGGATGTCATTGTCGACGACGACCAGATCCGCATCGAATTCTCGGACCTCCAGAGGACCACTGGATGTGAGCCCAGATAGACAGACAGACACAAGGGGGAGGGGGGGAGGGAGGGAGACCAATGAAAGCACTCTGTGTGTGTGTGTGCAGTGACGGCAAAGGGTACGCGTCTGGAGACGAGCGGCATCAAGTGTCGGTATGGTGTGCTGGAGGGCCGGCTGTACCCCCATGGGCTGAGTGAGGAAGAGGAGGTGCACAACATCAACGACCCCACACGAGGTCCCGCTCACTTGGTCCTCAAACGCCTCACCAGGCATGCCATGCAACGCACCACACCACCCTACAAGCGGATCGGATCGCATCCACTCGTGTGGGCATCTCCCTGTCCTGTGCTGCGTGTGTGTTTCCCCCCAGTGGTGTGCTGTACACGTGCGGCATCACTGTCCGCGGCGAGAAGTACCCACCGCGACTGCTGGACGAGGAGCGGGGCGACCGGTGTGCGTGGGGCCTGGGGGGCGACGCCGGACACGTCCTCTGGCTCGCAGGCGGACGATCACTTGACATACTCCTGCACCTCATCGAGGGACCATCCGTCACCAAACCGGTGAGCAAAGCAAATAGCGATCTGATCTGCTGTGTGAGTGGACGGATGGACGGATGTGTGTTGTGCCGTGTCATGCCTGCTTTCGTTCAGACCCTTTCTGGTGTGTCTTTGCGGTTCGAGTCGGCCCAGCGTTTCTTCGATCTCTGCGGGTCGGACCACTGTCTGCCCTGCCCCCTTTTGTCGGTGGAGATCGACGGCATGGAGTGGTGCATCAAGGCCTCCCTCCACCCACACAAGCACCAGCAAGAGACACCCGCCACACTCACCCTCGAGGGCTGGCCGGCCCCCAACGCTAAGGAGGGCAAGGGCGGTAAGTGGAGCGGCCTCCTGGCCGTGGTGGAGATGACAGGCGCGCCGGGCAGGAAGGTGGAGCTCCTGACAGCTGACGGAGGCGGGGACGATGAGCGCATCCGCGGGGACATTACTCTGCCCCGACTGGACGAGCTGCTGCAGCTGTGTGGGGCGCAGGGGGGATGTCTGGAGCTGGTCATCGACTTCTTCAAGGCGCCCTCGGTGGCCGTCACCATACCCAAACCTGACGCAGTGAGGGAGAGAGACACACAGACAGAGATGGAAGTCGAGTCGCACGTGGGTGCCTTCCTGTCCTGTCTTGTCTTGTCTGTGTGTCTGATGCAGCGGCCTGCCGGTTTTCTCGCCAACGCCATTCTGCAGCTGCACCACTTCGCCGCCATTTCACAGGTGAGCCCTTCCCTGCCTGATCCACAAACACGCACAAGCTTTGCTTTGCATACGTGACATGACATCTCTGTGATGATATGATGCCATGTATCTATCGTATCCATCCCCCACCCCCCCCAGGTGTGTGGAGTGGACTCCCCCATCCCGACTCCCCGGTTCGGCCTCCCAGGCTCCTCTGCCTCGCTGCAGTGCTCTGTGGCAGCATCCGGTGCGCTGCACGTGACTCGTGAGGGTCCAGCCGACAGCCTTGGGCCGCTCATGTGGGTGGGCGAGGTCAATGGCAAGGCCCACCCCCCGGCACACCTGGCCAGGGGCGCCACCACCGGCGAGGTCATATGCCTGTCGCTGCCCAAGAAGAAGGACCCACTCGACATTTCACTCAGAATCGCACAGGGAATCACCACCGAGCAACAAAACGTAGATAAAAGACTAAGATAATCAGACAGACAGACAGGCAATGGATAATCTCTCAAGATTTCGTGCCCTCTGTTTACCTGCAATGCAGCATTATGAGGTGGTCCACTTCCCCGCCTTCGACATGCTGCGGGCGGCCCACATCAAGACGCCCTCTGTCAGCTACGAGGTGTCGAGCGAGCCGCTGTCCCACGGCCAGCAGCGGCTGTGCGCCCGGCTGGTCTTCAGCAGCGGGGGGGAGCGCCACGGCGACAAGGGTCGGAAGGGCGGCTTCTACGTTGAGTTCATGGACCCCCCACTGCTGCAGTCTGGTGTGACGGCACACCGAGTGGAGGATGAGGCCGGCCTGGCCGTCGTCACCGCCATAGAGACCAGCAAGGGCTCCTGGAAATGGAACCCACCCATCCTACTCTGGTTGGGCAACGAGCGACACATATGTCTGTCTGCCATCCGAAGACCAGCCATCTGTCTCTCTGTGCTGTGCTGTGTGCATGTGTGTGTGTGTCAGGTGGGAGCCGGGGACTGCCTTGCCGGTGTCACTGCGCAGTCTGCATGTGATGGATTTGGATCGTGTGGGGCGCTACCAGCACGAGGGGGGGTTCCACGTGGCCATGCGTGTGTTCGACGCACCCTACATCGCTTCCATGGACAAGGAGGACGGCAGGGGCATTGAAATCTCACCCAGGGCTGGACAGATGAACATCAGGATCAAAGACGAGGTCAGCCAGCTGAACCAGCCAGGCCAGCCAGGGACTTGACTTGCGAGGCGGGATGCAATGCACCAGTGCAGTGCGTCTTGTCTTGATCAACTATCGTCTGTCTGTCTGTGTGCGGTGTGTGTCTGTGTGTGTCTGTGCAGGTGGTGCGTGTGCGTTTGGTGATACCGTGTTACCGGCAGCTGATGCGAGGGTGGAAGTCGTCATCGGCCCTCACGTGCTCGTCATTCACCTACCGCAGCCAGAAACTCGCATTCAGACTCACACCAGTCGCACGCGCATCCGAACCAGAAAGGTATGTATCGTCACTCTAACACCCACCCACACACGAGCCATATGCCATATGTACAGTACAGCTCTCCCGATAGTGCATATGCGTGTGTGCGCACCTATCTCGTCTATCTGTCAGGCATTTTGAGACCAAGGCGAGCGGCACAGACCTGGAAGACGACGAGACCATCACAAATGGACTCAGGTAAGTAGTAAGCTACGGGCGTGGCGTGGCGTCCACCGATCGGATGAGCACGGTCCTCTGTCTGGTCTTTCATGTCATCAATCAGGGTGCAGCTGATGACGGTTGAGGATCTGTCTGTGGCCCCCGCGGCAGCCTCGGTGTCGCCATTGTGGGCGTTGGAGATCGGGGGTGTGCGGCTGTCTTTCACGAGTGCGGCTGACGGCGAGGTGCACCTGGATGCTGGGGCCATCGCTGCAGCCATCCAGGGGGAGCAGGACCTCAAGCTACTCATACTACTCGCACAACCACAAGACGACGGCACACCTGACGTACGTGCGCAGGCAAAGAGGCAGGCGACCAAATAGGCACGCTCCCGTGGTCATATTCTTGAATGGGATGGATGTGTGTGTGTGTGTAGGTGTCTGAGAGCAGCTCACCGTCGCCTTCCAACAGAACGGGAGAAGACATCTGACCTGATGACAGTACGGTGAGGGGATGACAATTGGATTGGGGCTCGGTTCGTCTGTCGGTCGGTCTGTCGGTCGTTGCGTACACTAAGTACATGAACGCAATGCATTAACTGGCCCACTCAGTCATTCTTGGTACGTACCGTACACATGGCATGGCATGGAGAGATACCATACCCTTCTGTCTACCTATCTATATCGGTCTACACACATTACTTACACGCACACGAGGCGAGGCGAGGCGAGCACAGATTGATAACTTTTCTAGTCGGTCGTTTTTGTTAACCAACTAACGGTGGACGCACACTCACACCGGCCACATACATACTTCTGAGAGGGACGGAGCGATCGGGGGCACGGGACAGACAGACAGACAGGGCGACGTTTTTGTTTTCGTTTTTCTTTGACGCGCCCTGCAAGGGCGTGGCGTGAGTTTTAATTTCATGGCACGGCACGGCATGGCACGATGGATGGATAAGGGGTGCGTGCGTGTGTGTTCATGGATGAATGCCGTGGTTAATTTCATCACGTGTCGTGTGTGGTGGTCGTATCTCGTCACGTCGATGCGATGCCCGTCGTGTGGATGACGTGCTTGTGGTGTTTCTTGTGGTGGGTGTGGTGTTATGGTATGCGTGGGGTGGGTGACGTGAGGTGTGTGTTGCTCTTATACGATGGATGGTAGGATACGATCGATATTTATCGGCTGTCGACTGACTCACTCACTGACTGACTGACTGACAAACTGTCTAATCTATCACTCACCGGCCAGATAGCTGTGTGTGCGTAGGGTACATGGAATGCATTCGTCCGTCCAGTGACCTCCACACAAGTACGTACATACATGGACCGACAGACAGACCCCTGATCTGATGTCACCTCAATGCCGTCACTCAACCAAACCACCAAAACATTTATGTAACACGCACTCGAGCTGTGCTGTACACCTGGCTTGTCTCTATGCGCCGTTACAGCAGCGGCACCTGCTGTGGCGCTGCCACACACTTGACCTTCACCATCCTCTCTACGTCAGCCGCCACCTTGACCATCCCTCCGCCCATCACCACCCTCACACACAGGGTGCTGGCGTCGATCACATCCCCCACCTGCACCAAGGAATCCACACTCCCAAGCGGGGCCACCTCATCGAGGCCCCGGATGGCCTTCACTCTCGACGGCCCGGCACAGTATCGCCAGCCGTACAGCAGCACCGTGACGCTTGGCTCGGATCGAAAGGCACCCTGCCACTGACTCAGTGGAATGCCGGGAAGGTCAAACGCAGTAGTGGCATCTGGGTGGGTGGGACGGAAAAGAAAGCATCCGTGCGTACGCAACTTGTGTGAGTGCATGCAGGTAGATACCTTACCTGTTCCATCTTGCTCGGAGCAGGCAGACCAGACCACAGCGGCCACCACACGCTCCTCGAATGTCTCCAGTTGCTGATTGTCCTCTCCCTCCACCTTCCCCTCGTCAACAGCACCACACACGTCCCAAAATCGGACGCTGTGCATCTGCCACCCCTCATCGCATGACCCTCGTATCCTGCACCGATAAGCGCCCACAACGCGCCAGCCGTCCCGCGACACCCACTCCGTCAGAAAGGCGAGCAGCGATGGCCATGGGGCCTCACTGGCTGCGCCTTCGCCTGCCGACGAGGCCTGCCCACTGACACCTAGCTTGCCGCCGTCAAAGTAGGTCCATCGCCGGCACTCGTGCAACTGACCGGTTGTCGTGCTCTCGCCGTACTCAACTCTCCAGAGACCCAACAGCTGCGTGGATGGACCCACTGAGAGCAGACGGACCTCATACTCCTCATGGATGGCAGACCTCGGTTGCGCGTCATCAGCAAGACGAGAGAGGAACACAGCAGAGGGCGGGGGCAGGAAGGCTGACTTCTTGACACCACTCTCGGGCTCGCCTTTGCCGTCATCCCCCCCTCTGCTGTCGTCGCCTTTTCTCTCCCCCTCTGGCTCCTTTGCCGCCTTCTCCTCACTGTCACCTTGGCTCCGTCTGGTCAGCGCGTCCATGGTGAGCGCGGCAGCCCATCCAAGCTGCTGTCTGATGAGCCCTTCGCCCTGCTGGGCCGTCCGACACACATACATGGTCTGCCCCGGACGCCCACTGGTGGGCATCGTCTCCAGCAAGACGGGCAGCTGCCAGGCAGGCTGCGATATGAGGCTGTTGAAGGCGTCCAGTGAGGTGCAGATGGCCGTCGATGATGTGGGCGGCAGGCGACGAGAGTGGATGATGGACATCGGGGTGTGGGGGAGGCCGAGGGCAGACGCGAGGGCACTTGCAAACACGGCGCATGAGTCGCTGGCCGCCAGGACGCCCACATAGGTGAAGGAAGCCACAGACTGCAGCAGGCACAAACCACAATCAGATGATGGATCTGTGCCTCCGAATGAATGTATTGCTCTCGGCTCCTCACCTGCAGGATTAGCAGGCTCTGCAGAGCCTCAGGCAGCCCTCCCTTGATCCGAATAGGCAGCACATTCTCCCACTCAGCCGCCTGGGTGTCTGAATCAAGTGCAAGCTGCACGACTTGCAAGCGGCGCGTGTCAGATCTGAAGCAGCAAGGGACGCTGCCGATGATCACCACACAGCGGCTCATCTTGCCACGACGTTTGCGAGCTTAGCTTGCAAGTGGGAAGGGAGATCAAAACAAAGGCAGTACGTGGAGAAGAGCAGGCAGGAGGCCAGCCATGGGAAGTGTGCATGAAGAGAAAGCAAAACCGATGAGTGCTTCGCATCCGAGGAGCTTTCTGTGGCTCTTGTTCCCGTGGATGGCCATGCAGCAGCGCTCAGCAGTGAATCAGGGACAAGGACACGCCGGCGGCTTCCCTGTCCACGCCTTCCTGTCGGTGCAGTATCTGGGTGTGCTGGGCGGTCTGCTGCTCATCGCGTGTGGCGTCATGTATGGGAGAATGAAGGCTCGGATGGGGCAGAGTGCAGCAGAGGATGCGCCTGACGGAGCCATGAAAGATGCCTATGCAATGAATGCGCCGACAGTGATGGGTGAGGAGGGCAAGCCAAGCCAAGCTGCTGGAGATAGATGTCTGTCTGTCTGCAGTAGTGCACATGTGTGTGGTGTGTTTGTCTTGTGTTGCCTTGTGGTTTGCATCAGTTCTTGGTGTGTCGTGTGTGGAGACCTCCTTACGCTACTACCGCGACGTTCTTGGTACATGCAGCATCATCACACCTGTCGCTCTGTATGTCTGTATGTCTGTCTGTGTTGCAGGCGGGGTCGAGGAGGATGTTCCGTCGTGGCTCACGCTGCTCGACTCTCTATCGCTCTCTCTCACGTCCATTGATGCCGATGCGTCATCGACATGCCCCGCCGCAGCTGCTCAGGGCATCGATGGTCAATCCAACACGACCTCCGAAAGCTGCACTATTGCTGCAGGTCATCAGTCGACACCGTCATCTTCCCCGCGATTACGGTGCGTCCGTGTGGGGCCGCTCTTGCTCATCCTGCAGCAGCGGCGGAAGCAAGACCCTCCATGTCTGCAGTCAGTTTTCCTGCCGCTGGCGTCTGGGGTCTCGCTACCGAGTCTCATGCGGCGGCTCCATCACCGGCACACAAGACAGTCGTTTCCCTTCACATGCCATCTAGCCGGGCGAGAGGGGGATGAGCGGCGGGAGGAGCTGGCTGGGTCTGGTGTGCCATTTTGGCTGAGGGTGCTGGTGAGGCGGGGAGGGGCTGGGAAGGACAAGGGCGGGGATAGATTAGTGGTTTGTGGTGGTCCTGATGGCGAGAGGGTTGTGCTGCATGGCTGATGGGATACTTACTGTATGTGTGTTGTTGGTTATAACACTGACTGACCTGGGGTCAACTCATGACCTTCAGGTAGTCATGTCATCAATAGGTCACTCACATGCACACTACACAGTCGCGCATCCATCCCTCTCCCGGGGGTTTCTAACCCTGAAACCCGAACCCTACGCCATGCGAGCTTAGTTTTGAGTGCAAGAGATGCGCCGGACGCCTTCGTTTCCTGCTGACCGCGAAGATCTGTGCTTCGAGCGCGGCACGTCGCTAGATGAACTCATCGACAGCGCCAAGAGGAGGGCATTCGAGCTGACGCCGCTGCAAGTGGGACAGCCGGTGAGCAACCGAAGAAGGCAGAGGACTGTTCAGACAGACAGAGCAAAAGGGAGGAAGATCCTGTAAGTCAGATGCTTTGGTCTGAGAGAGTTCCCGTGTGTGAGTTGTGCAGGGGTGTGTGGATGAATTGAGCCATTTGGTGGTGCAAGGCGGCATTACCAACACGCTCCTCAAGGTCTTCAAGACCAATGACCCGGCCAAGGCCTGCCTCGCGAGGATATTCGGTGAATGCGTGGTGGGAGACCAACACAACCACCGGACATTCAGAGCGTGTGTGTGTGTGTCGGGCGTCAGGTCCCAAGACGGAGGAGATCATCGATCGCGAGCAGGAGCGGCGGTGCGTCGACTACCTCGCCTCACACGGCATCGGGAAACACATCTATGTCAGACTGCAGGTGCGCTGCTCACAGCGACATTCACACGGCAGGCATGAATGCACTGTCTGTGGTGCCTCAGAATGGTCAGCTGGAGGAGTGGCTAGAGGGCCGCACGTTCGAGCCGCCGTCGGAGATGATGAGTCCCGACATCGCGAGGAAGATCGCCCATCGTGTGGCGGCCCTCCACTCCCTCCCCATCCCGCCATTCATGATGCACACCGACGGCCGCAAGGGGGACAGGAACGGGCCCGTATCAGGCTCCACTCTGTGGCCCCAGCTGTGGAAGTGGCTGCAGCAGTAAGCAAGGGCATCGGAAAACAGCAGCGGTTCGGTTGTTGGTGAGCCAGACAATGCGCCTGTGTTGGTGTTGGTGTGTGGGTTATTTATTGGGTCAGGTGTCGCGATGCGGTGTCGCGTGTGCATGCGGGCGATGCCGACTATGCCAAGTCGGCGAAGATCCTCATCTTCGATCTCAATGCCATCGAAAAGGTTACACACAAAGAAAGGGACGAATAGCAGACACGACACACGGGATCGTACGTGTGCATGTGCGTGTGTGTGCACAGGAGATGCATCGGATCGAGGCGCAGACGTCAAGCTTCCGCAGCCCTGTGGTACGAGTGAGGCGACTACTTTGTCCTTCTCAACCAGTCCGTCATGCGTCTGTGTTGTCTGCTGGTCGTGTGTTCTTGTGCGAACGCAGGTTGTGGGTCACAACGATCTCCTGTGTGGCAACGTCTTCCTGTTCGAAGACGGTCAGCCAGACGACCACCTGTCACCTGGCCTGCCTAATGCGGATATGTGTTGCCCTTTCTCTCTGTATATGTGTGTGTGTGTGTGTGCACAGGTTCGGTTGACTTTATCGATTTTGAGTACTGCGCGGCGACTGAGAGGGGGTTCGACATCGCCAACCACTTCAACGAGTGTGTCGGTGAGATAAATGGACAGCGAGCGGTGTCGACAGACAGACAGGTGGAGAAAGAAAGACCTGTCTGCTGTGGGGTTGTCAGGTTTCGACTGCGACTGGGAGAATTATCCTTCCAAAGAGCAGCAGATCGATTTCATCAGGTGGGTGAGGTGATGTGGGTGACCAAGAGCGAGAGCATTCGGGCGCGGCGCCTAGACTGCCCCGGATGCGCGTGTGTGTGTGTGTGTGTCCCTCCCTGGCATGCCACCAGGGAGTATCTGAGTGTGGTGAGGTACCAGACCAACAACAACAGTGAGGGCTGCGCGGCCTCCACCAGCGACAGTGACGTCGAGAGCGTCTGGGAGGAGACACAGGCGTACATCAACGCTTCACACCTCTTCTGGGGTACACACACACACACACACACAGAGAGAGAGAGAGACACACACGGCACGGCAGGGGGTGGATGGATGGATGGATGGATGAGTCAGGGCTGCACGCCATCCAGCAGGCCGTCCACTCGCCTCTTGGTTTCGACTTCCACAGGTGTGTGTGTGTCTCTGCGTGTGTTTGATGTGCGCGTAGGGTTGTGGGCCATCATACAGACAGTCCACTCACCTATCGACTTTGATTTCTTCAGGTACACGCATCATTCATACAAGCGTGCAGGCAGGGACCCCACAACCAACCTCGTCTGTCTGTCTGTCTCTCTGTGTGTGTGCAGTTATGCTTTTCGAAGGCTGTCGGCCATCTGGCTGCCGCAATTTCGATTACCCTGACAGAGATGAGAGCTGGGTGTACTGTACCTGCGTACGTACGTGCGTCGGCAGAGATGGAGCGCAGTGAGACGCTGGCTGCATGTGGTGTCACTAAAGGGCTGCAAGTTGGGGGTCGGTCAGTCGTTGCCCAGATCCATATCTCTTTCCCTGCCTGCCTGCCTGCCTGCCTGCCCGTGTGCTTGCATACCAAGCCAGAGGGAGGAGGGGCTGCCGCTGAGTGGGAGACAAGGCGGCGCGTAGTAACCTGTGCTGTACAAATCTGGCTGGGTGCTTCATGGGCGATGATACAATAGTTTAGGAACAGAGAGAGACACGTGTCTCTTCGTCGCCTCGGCAGCCCGTTGGCTTTCCTGCAGCCTGCGGCAACAAGAATTGAGACACACGCAGGGAGTGCTATCTCTCTTTTTGTCGGGCTTGCACGAAAGGCAGCGCAATCGAGGCCTCGACCGTCAATCTACAGACACACACTGAGTAAACTGTAGGGTTCGGGATACAGGGTGTCGGGCAACGGCACACCAGCCCGACGTCCGATAATTCAAGACTGTGCACGGGAAAGTAAGTAGCCACCCCACAGGCGCCTAAGGATTGCGGCAGGGCGAACAAGGTGAATGACTCATTGACAGACCAGATGAGCAACGAGTTGCGGCTGAGGCAGCTGCAGCAGGACGCTCAGTCGACGGCCTCTAACCTGCAGCGGCTCATGCAGCAAGCTACAAAGGTGAGGGAGGGGAACCGCGCCACACCACAGACAAGATGCGCCGGGTGGATCTGTGAGTGTTTGTTTTGTCGCGCTGCTGCCTTGCATGGCAGGTGGATGAGCATCTCTCTCAGATCAACCAGATGGATCCTGCGGACCGCAGCCCACAGGTAGGTTATCAATCGGGAGCCTCGCTCAGCTCGTCACCGATTGCTGTTCGCTGTCTGGTCTGTCGGTCGTGTAGGCGTCTTTGTCGGAGCTTCGTTTCCAGCTTTCGCTCCTCGCCGCCCCAGTCAATGCCGTCGCCACCCAGTTGTCGAAAGTGGAGCCCTTGCTGGCCAGCACCGTGCAGTCACTCAAGGCCACACCTGCACCGCCGCACGCACAGGTAGGCAGGTTCTCATCCAATCGATTGAAGGAAGGCACAGAGAGAGCTCATATGGGGTGAGTGGCACTCTCCTGGTGTGGCTGGTTGGTTGATGGGGCAGGCTGCTGCTCTTCCTGCTGTCCGTCCCCCGGTGAGACGACACAGGGTTCGGCGGATTGGGTCTGCCAGTCCGTTTGGCGCTCTCATTCGTCACTTTGTCATCGGCTGCACGCGACTCTGGCGCCAGGTAGAGAGGGGCACACGGGCGGCCCCGGAGGGGCGAGACAAGCCTCCCCTTTTGTGTTGCTTCAGCTTGCTGGCGCGGGAATGTCCTGCCGTTTGGTTCAGCAGGATAGCCGACAGCAAGAGACCAATCGTGAGCCGGTGAACCAACAATGTCAACTTGACACCTGCGCGCATCAAGTTGTCTGTCTGTTCCTTCCCTGGTCACCCAGGAGTCCCATCGGCTGTCCCATGAAAACGTCGCCTCTGTCCTCGGCCACTTGACGCCCTGGCAGCTGACCCAGCTGTGGCCCTCCATCGACACGAGCATCTTCCTGCAGTCCGCCGCCACCTACACACACCTGGTGATCGACTGTGCTGACGAAACGGCACGGCGCATGTGGGAGGCCATGCAACTCCCTGTGGCCTACCGGTGGGGCCAAAGAGCGTGCAACTTGAAGGCACTGAGGGTCCGAGTCCCCTGCGGCCGGCCCGACTGGTGTCTGGGCATCTGGGTCGCCATCCTCGAGGGACAGGCAGACCACGGGACTCTGGAGGAGCTGTCGTTCAAGAGTGTGATCCAGAGGAGTTGCAGTGTCATTCCCTTTCCTACCCCTGCATCCACCCCCCTCCCGGCCCCCTCATCGCCGGTCAATTTCCCAGCACTCAAGACCGTCACTGGGCTGCCCCCAGCCTGCGCCCGTGTGCGCCGCGGCAGGGAGTGGGCCACACCTAACCTGAACACCCTCACCCTGCTGGAGAACGTGGGGGCAGATGCTGTGATGGAGTGGGTCAAGGGATGCGGTGGTGGGAGGCTTAAGGCAGTCGATCTCGGGGGGCACTCGGTGCTGGCGGCGGTGGAGGCTCTGAGCGTCTTGCCCGTCGGCAGCTCCCTCTCGAGGCTGCGCTCTCTGCGGGGCATCAACGTGTGGGCTGCTGGTGCCGATGCCATCCAGCAGCTGTGCGAGACGCTGGTGGCGCGGGGCGTACAGGCCAAGCTCGACCACGCCTCGTTGGACATCATGCCGCCGGAATGGCTGAGCTTTTGGCAGCGTCGCGAGGTCCTCGCGGACAGCGGCCGGATCGAGCAAGTGGCTGACCTCGCGTGAGCACTCAGACAGCGGCAGCCAGCGAGGCAGAAATGACATGTCTGGTCGGTGGTCTGTGTGGGGTTCAGGGCCGCCGTGGTGCACCCTGATACTCTTTTGAAGAAGGGGCCTTGTTTCTCTAGTACTCATGGGGACGTGGCTGCCGACCTTGTGATTTGGCGCTCACCCAACGCTGCCTCTGGGTGCCCAAGATTGTCAACCACCTGGCCACTGGGGCGAGCTCTGTGCTGATCTCGGGCGATGAGCAGACGGCAGCCAACATCGCATCCACGACCTTTCCAAAGGCCTATAGCGTCTCTGTTGCACGGAGCGCCCTCACAACGCCACACAAGCGAGACGTGGTCACCCGCATTGCCGCCCTCATGCCGACTTTGAGATGGGTCCAGGTGGGTTCTCATGGTGCACCTTTGACATCAGCTATCGGTGTCGTGCCTTTTCTGGCCGCCCTCAAGTCACACTTGACAACCAGCACACCACTGGGAGAGGCCATCTTGCAGTTTCACGTGTCGTCGGCCGCCCTGGCGAGTGCGGAAGGGCTAAGTGAGTGGGAGCTGGGCGGGCGCGCTGCAGATCTGCCAGCCTGTTTAGGAGTCTATTTCAACCTTCACGGTACGTGTGTCTGTCTGTGTGTCTGTCTGTCTGTGGGGATCGACGGAGTGTGGCCTGTGTATCTTGATGTGTGGTGGTGTGTTGGTAGGTGAGGTGGATGCCAGCAGCTGTGACGTCCTCTTCTGCAATGCCATCGCAATCATGGCCTCTTGTATGCACCTGAAGGCACGTCAACACACACATACATACGAACATACATACGAAGAGACGGCATGAGTGTGTTTTCACCTCCCCTCGTGCCGTCTGTGCAGGGCAACCATACTTCGTCCATGTGTTTCTGGAGCAACGCTGTCGCGAGCAACATGCAGCGTCGTTTCAGAGCCCATCAGCCTTCCGACAAATTGGGGTTCTTCAGCATGGAGTCCACCAGTCTGAGACTCAATCGCCCCCTATGAGTAGAGCTCTCGACGGGGCGATGCTGGTACTGTAGATGCTCTTTCTTTCATGTGTGTGTGGTAGTCATTTGGAGAGTGACCGGTGGGTGAGTGATTTGCTAGTAGTGTTGTGTGTGTGTGTGTGTTCGAGTAAAAGTGACTTTCGATTTCTCTTTGTTTGGAAGGATTTTTGGTTGAGGCAGCCAGCACAGCAAACGAATGAGGAGTCTCACACACATGTCCTGTCCGTCCAGCATGCCGGCCGTCTGTGTACATCCGTCTCAAGAGCCAGGCCACCCACCCATCAGTACGCCAGATAGTTAGAGAGGTGCATCCACTGTTACGGTCCTGGGGCGATGATATAGCGGACAAAGAGAGAGACGTGTTGTTGCCATGAGCCTCGACAGCCCGTTGGGTTTGCGGCAATAACAATCGAGCCAGAATGGAGACACACGCACGGGGTAATGTCTCTCTGCCTCTCTCTTCCCACTGCCCTTGCGCGAAGATCTCCCGTGCGAGCCATTGCGTGCGAGCTTAAGCCTGGGGGGGTGGGGGCGCACTTTTGGGAGTCTCTTCTTCTCGCGCAAATGAAGAAGCGGTGCGATGCCGCGCAAATGAAGAAGTGGTGCGATGCCGAGTTCATCGTTGGGCTGTTGATAGATCTTTTGACCTTAGCAGAGGTGAAGCAGAAGATCACATCAGAATCACATCACGGATGACACTGTGGGGCGTCTGGCTTTCGTCAGGACATCTGGGCTATTCTCGTGGTCGATGAGGTACGTGACTTGTGAACGACGGTATGTTCTGTTCACGCGTGCAGCTTCATCATCGCAGGACTACCCGTGGACTCTTTTTCTAGTGTTCACAGCCCACGCTCTTGTCTCGGGCCTGATTGATGCACTCCTTCTGGAAAGCGATGGGACGGTTCCCTTCACCTGGTCGGTGGCCGGCATCCGTTCCTGGGTGTACGACAACGCCAAGAACGCCGCGAAGACTGTCATGGAGTTCATGCAATTCGTTCTCCTCTTCGGCCTTACGTAATGTGCTCACCTTCAATGCCTCATACATACTCTCACTGACTCTCTCTCTCTCTCTCTTTGCGTGTGTGTGTGTGTGTGTGTGCCTGCTGGCCTCACAAATTAATGCAGGGCAATCGGCTCGGCCGGACTCGGGGGTCACTCCATTTTCTTTGCAGTGGCGTTCATAGTGCAATTCCTCACAATTTGGTTGCCGGTAGAGGAGTACTTCGCCAAGCTCCCTTGTGTCAAAGAGACATCCCAGACAAGTGAGGACAACGACGAGGAGCAACCCAAAGCGTCACCCACTGTAGACAAAAGCGGAAAACCGGGACAGCAGCAAGCTTTATCCCCTGATCACGGAGCCCGCGGCGGTGACCTCAGCGACGTGGTCGTCAATTTGCCCAGTGAGGAAGAGAAGACCGGAGAGAAGCCAGCAGGAGGGGCCGAGGAGAAGAAAGGAGAGGCGAAAAAGACGAAGAAGGAACAGGTGGAGAACGACAACCGACCGAAGGAAGCCGTGCTTTTGCTGTGGTTGAGGCTCGCATTCACGACCCCCCACATCCTGCTGCTCCTGGTGAAGATCACCCCAAAGAAAGACGAGAGTGGGAATATTCACCAAGAAATCAAACTTGAAACAGGCAAGTGATCCACTTACAAGCAAATGAGGTTGATCCAACTCCACAGGCTTTCATCCAGTTTCTTTTCTTACGCACAAACCTGCAGATGAGGAGTTTGTGGAAAGATTGAGGAAGGAAAAAGAAGCAGAGGAAATGGCGGAGCAGACGCAGGCCCAATTGGATTTCTCCCATGCAACAGGAGCTCCAGAAGGAGAGGGCGGCATCGGGGGAGAGCAGACAGAGACGGAAGCAGGCAAGGAGGGAGAGGACGATAAGGACGGCAAAGAAGAAGACACAGCACTGCAGGCTACGGCCCAAGGCGGGGACACAGTGCAGCAACCTGCCGCCGAAGAAGAGGCAAAACAAAAGAAGACTTGTTGGACTGCCTTTCTCGCCTTCTTCGCTTGGATGGCTTCCAAGAAAAAGAGCAAGGATGCAGCAAAGACTGAGCCTGAGGAAGAGGAGACAAAAGACGTCATCGTCGACGAGCTTATCGGAGACGTGTGGTTGAAGACCGTAGACACTGCCGCACAGGCTGCCAACAATTCCAAGAGAGCGTATCGCTGGGGGACGGGAGTGTGGGTGACCATTTTGTGGACCCTGCTCACTTCGGCGCTGCCGCTGCTCTACGTGCCCTTCGAGGATGAGTCGCCCTTCCGATCGGCTGCCTTCGACATATACGTACGCCTCACACATACTCGAACAGGGCAGCACATCTCTGTGTCTCTTCAATCAGAGCCTTCACCATCAGCATCTGGTTCGCCTCCTATCTCGTTGACAGCCTTAACGAGGCACTGAAGGAGTTCCATGGAGATCAGGTTCCTCATTGTTTCAAGACACACACACGAGGAGCCGACTTTTCTTGCGTGGAGTCTGGTTCAGGAAAAGGTGATGCTGGACGCCTTTGTGGCATTTTTCTCGAAGCCGCCACTCAAACGTACCGGGATCGTCCAAGTGAGGGCCCCGTAAAATCCCATATAGACCTCTCCACACCTGCTCTGACTGCGTGTTCAGACGTCACAGCTCCTGCTGGCGGAACGCCTTCAAATCGCAATCGTATGCAGTTACCCATCATTGTCCGCTGTGGACATGCTAATCTTATTGTTGCTGTGCATCATTGCGAGCAGAAGAAGGCCTTGGAAGGCGATTCGATCCCTGAGCGCACCTTCCTTGGCATTGCCTGGGCGTACACAACTATGTTCCTGCTCACGGTGCCCTTCATTGGTCTCTTGTACCTGACCTATGCTACCAGCCCATACGAGAAGGTACGACAGCAAGATCCAAGGTACGACGCCACGTTTCCTGCCTTTTTTGTTTGCGCCACGGTAAGGCCCTGTGCATAATCGGCATCCTCTACATCACCGTCGGCGCTGTTTTCTTCCTCGGCATCATCGGCCCCGTCATCCGCGCCTCACGAATTGGCGAGTTCCGCAGAGAGCTCTGCATCCTGCCGGCTGATGCTCAAGCAGCCGGCGATCTCGCGTACGCATGTGCCCCATCCAACTGCACATATGTCGATTCGGATGGCAAACGACTGTGTCTTGCAGCCTCAAATGCTTCTATGGCTGGTCGGGGTGCTGGGCACGGTGCCTTCTGCCTATTGCCTCTTGCATTTGCGATCTTCCCGGTGGGTGCGCTTTCGATATCAAGAGCAGTCATCCTCATGCTTCATACCTCCACGCAGGGCTTCTGTATACACACATCCGCCTTCGCAAGGAAACGGATGAGGAGAAGCGAAAAGGCCTGGAAAAGGTGACCGAACAAGACAACAAGCGAAGAAACAAGACCATTGTGATTTGTTGTCTTGCAGATGAGAGGCTTCTTCTTCTGCGCATCGTTGGTATCAGCATTTGCAGCTGTGGTCGTCTTCTGCTGGGTCGCCATCTTGCTGTGGCGCGACGAGGTGCTGGAAGCGTCCATTACTGTTCAGGAGGCAGTGGGTGACTGATAGACAGGTCGTCCCACGTGAGACAGGTCGTCCCACGTGGTTTTTAAGGGAAGAAAGCCTGTGTTGAGCGGGTGAAGGGAAAAAACCTGTGTTGAGCGGGTGTTGTGGGTGACAGGGAAGAGAAAGCGGGAGAACAAAGCTTGGCTCGTGTGGTAAAGGGAGAAACGCATCGAGTGGAGCTTGCTTACTAGGAGAAAAAGGCCAGTGTATTGTGACCTACTAAAATGCCTGTGTTTTGTTTGTGTATGTGCTTTGGAAGGACTGTGGCCCGTGTGTTGGGGGAAAGAACAGGAACAAAAAAGAATAAACGAGTGTAACGCTGACGTTTACAATATTGTAAGCAAGCAAGCCTACGTAGGTGTGTGGTATGGGGGTATGCTTTACACCCTCATAGCTCACACTAGTAGATTCAGCAGGAGTCTCGTGTTCACACTGACTGAGCGAAAGGACGCGAACTGCACCAACAGATGCCCCAAAGCACACGGACTCAAAACATACGGGCCAACTCCCCAACTCCGCCAAAGCACACAAAGCACCCTGACTCAGGCATCCCTCTCAAGGCACACAGACTCGGGCCGTCTTCCCTCACTCACTCAGCCCACTGAACTCTAACTCACGCAGGCTCTCCCACTTTCACTCGCAACCTGATTCGAGGAGATCGAGCTCGTCGATGTCGATTTCGGGTTTGCCCTTGAATTTCGGCCACAGGTTCTCGACGATCAATGAGAGGATGGTGAGACCGATACCCACCGTTGCTGAAACCGTGCAGTTCGACACAATAAATATAGAAACGATTACAGCATGAACGTCTATATTGCCTACCCAGAACGCTGGCCTGCCCGAATTCGACCTTGCCAGGACGGGGCCCTCGTTCGTAGTCCTCTGGAGACACAACCTCAGCAGCTGCAAACATCAACTAAAAAATGTAGCCTGCATGGAGACACGACAAATACAAATGCGGATCGACGGTAGGCAGCAATGTGCACACACTTGGAATCAATGCTGGCTTACCGATGACGAAGAAGATGATTGCCGTCCACTTCGACGGCCTGCTGAGGTGGAGGGCGGGGAATGTCCAGTCGACGTGATAGACGTAGACGAGGCACTGCACCAGCCCGGCGATTGCATCTCCAACATCTGATTGTCGGGAGCTGCTGGGTTGGTTGATAGACTCCACCATCGCATCCACATCGATCTTTTGCCCTCGCGCTTGTTCAATTCCCCTGTGCGCCCCGAGGGTTCCTTGTGTGGTAAAGATGATACGAAGGTCCCAGTGCTCCGGGTAGCAGTAGGCGAAGCAGAAACAGCAGCAATATACGCCCATCATGAACCAGGCCATAACCGCAAGCGACACCACCACCGAGACTGCGAGATGGAAGATGGAGCCGACGAAGGATTGTGCCGCAATGCGCATGTCTTCAGTGTACGATAGGTAGAGGCTGCGAGTAGGCCATACACACAGGATCCGTGCTGTGCATTCATTGACAGAAGAGCCTCACTTGAAGCAGACGCTGAAGATGAGGAAAACGATGCCGGTGGCGAAGAAGCCACCGGCGTATGGAGCATCCATGACGTAGCCGAATCGATGAGGCTCCAGCCAGTAGCCCGACTTCAAGGCTAAACGAACACGCACACAGTGGAAGAGTACGCCTCTTGTTCGGCTTCTTTCGAGGCTTCTTCTGCCAGCTTTTGCGTACCAACACACAGGAAGACGAGGGGAATGACATCGAATGCCGCGAGGGCCAAATTCCACAGCCTCATGGTGGCGAAGAGCTCCTCCGGGGCCCGTGCGCCAGGGTTTAGGGTTTACTAAGGTCAAAGAGAGTCAATCTCGGGAAGGATTTATGTTTGAGGCAGCCCAGCCAGCGAACGAACAAGGAGTCTCACACACATGTCCGTCCAGCATGCCGGCCGTCTGTGGACATCCGTCTCAAGAGCCAGGCCACCCACCCATCAGTACGCCAGATAGTTAGAGAGGTACATCCAGTGTGTATGTATGGACGTATGCACCTGTCAGTCAAGTGGCGAGTCGAGCAACACCCTTTCCCTCCCCTGCCCTGCCCTCCCTCTATTCACACCCCCACAGCCTCCGTGGTGGGTGGTGGAACCACCCTACGCACCCACCCACCTCCATCTATCGGTCAGTCTGTGTGCCGTGCCCCTCTGTCAGTCATAATCCGTCCGTCCGTCCGTCAGTCACTGTACACAGCAGTTGCCAGGGTTGCACCAGTCCCGCTTGTCTGCCCTCAGCAGGGGCCCCTTGGCCGGCGGCGAGTGGTACACCCCCACGCCCTCGTCAGGGTCCACATCCAAAGGACCCGGCTCGCCGCTATCCATGTCTGACCAGACATACATACACAGACAGCCACACATAGACGCACGCCACGATGGGCGTGGCGTCTGTGTGCTTGTGTTTGTTTGGGTATTGGATCGCCTACCAACTCCTCCGCCGTAGCCGACAAACGACGCTGGCACCGCTCCCAACTCGCCTGCAGACACACACGACACACACGCATAACAGGCGAAGGCGTGTGATTGTGGATGCGTGTGTGTGGGGGGCAGGTTAGGTACCTACCTTGTGGCACGACCCATTTGTGTGTTTTGGCGGTGAGTGTGAGTGCCTTGACGCTGATGCTCTTCTCGGTCGAGTAGACCCGCAGGATCAGCCGGTGGACCCTCGTGACGCCGTAGAAACGGTTCACCGGCAGAGTGCACAACGCCATATACTCACCCACACGCTTCTGCACCAACCATACCGACACACACAGACAGACCGACAGGGCAAGCCGCTGTGGATGTATGTGTTATGTGTGATGGTTGGTTGCTTACGGCCTCAAATGCTACTGCCGAGTCCCGGAGTGGCATCCAGTTGGACTTGCATATCAGCGACCATGTGTCGGGGCCAACACGCTCGTACAAACGAACCTGACACACACACACACACACACACATACACACACAACACACGCGAGAGAGTCAGCTGATGGATGCACAGGTACGTGAATGCGTGTGTGACTGTGTGGCGATTCTGATGGTGTGATGACTCCCTCTGTCCCTCTGTCCCTCTCTCCCCTGCCTGTCCACTGACCAGCATTGATGCCTGCTTGGATCTCTTGTGGTTTGCCATGCGCTGGTCCACCTGCGACACCACCAGCACCACCTGACACGGCACCCTGCACACACACACACACACACATACACACACAACAATGGGGCGCAGCGGGCACACAGCCACGACAAATCTCTCTGCCCAAAGCTTTGCTTACTTCTCGACATTGATTCTGAATTCGGGGCATGCGCCCTGCGTCACCTCTCCCTGGAAAGCCATCAGCGTCGAACTGTAAATCGCCTTGGACGGAACCTGGTGACACACAGGACATATAGACATCATAGCAATGTCTGTGTGTGTGGGTATGTAGGCAACGCAGTGGTGTTTGTGTGCGTACGGTGCCGATGCCAGGCTGTGTAACGAGTCTGCACTCGACTATGGTCTTGAAGTAGAGGTGGAAGTCCTCCATAGTGATCCAGAAGAAACCGCCACGAGCGGCATTCTCAGCCACAGACGTTATCAAACTATACGGAACCACCGCCTGCACACCAAAGCACCCATCCATCCATTTCCGCGGTGGGCCCCTCTCTCCCTCTCTCTCTCTCTCCTACGTCGAATGGTCCAGTGTGGTAGATGCCGCTGCACTTGAGTTGGTAGTAGCAGATGCCCTCGTGCTGCACCGCCCTGTTGATGGCGTATGAGCACGAACACACCAGCGACACCCCACGCCGCGCCACCTCGCGGGCATCCACCAGACACGTGAACAGGAAACTCTCCTGTTGATTGATTGACACACACCACACCACAGGCGGGGAGGGAGGCCACTCATTGGCGTGGTTGTGTGTGTGTGAGGTTGTGTGTGGCGTGAGTATGCAATGCACCTCACCTGTCTTTCGAATATGTAGACCCACAGTCGGTCAGCTGCAACGCCCTCTACCTCAAACCTACCCGTCACGCCACCTGCACACACCACACCCATCACACGTCAGCATGTGGATGGATGGATGGATGTGTACCTGTGAGGTCCATGAGTGCCTCTTCTATCGAGCCGCCGTCCCCTATGGCCTCATACGACGTGTGCAGCTTCGCATACGCCTTCTCCAGCAACGACGGCCTGCCACACACATACCACACACACACACCACAGGAAGGAACAAACATGACTGGTGGGAGTCCCGCTTGGCCGTGGCCATCCATTGCCCCCACACTCACTCACTCACCACATGACGTTGGGATTGCCATCACGGCCTGCAGTGCAGACAAAGGCACGACAAGCCACACACATCATCCACACCCATCCGTCCCCATTCTCCCCGCACCCCTCTCTGTCACTGACAGAATAGCAGGTTGTCGTCTAGTCCGACGGGCACGTAGTCGTCGACAATAATGGGCACCCACTGGCCGTTCTTGTACCACCTCGTGCCGTAGATGCCGTGCTCCTCGCTATGCCGCACAAACAGCGCCTGGATGAGCGACTCACGCAGGGCCACCGTCTCGAGGGCTGCGATGAAGTAGAAGTCCCCCAGGTGTCCCTGGTAGATCCGGCTGTACTCGGTCTTGCTCGCTGGACTGAACAGACTCGCACCTGTGCACAGGCAGACCCAACACGCAGCATTGGTCCCCCCCTCTCCCTCTCTCTCTCTCTCTCTGTGTGTGTGTGTGTGTGGGGGGGGGGGGTCTTTCCCCGTGTGACCTGAGAACATATCTGAGAATCGCCTCCATTCTTTGGCTGAGGGGATGGCTGCGCCCGTTTTGTGCTTGGCGATGGACTGCTCCGCAGGCAAGAACTCGTCGTCAAATTTCTTGCCCACACGCTGGCACATCTGGATGGAGTGCAGATGAAAACACAGCACACGGACGCATGTGGTGTGTTGGCCAGGTAGATCTCTTTCCCTCTTTCGTGTGTGAGGCTGTCTGTGCGACCGTGATGTGTTGGCTGACATCCGTGTCGAGCTTCACCATAACCTGCCCCTCATTGTCGAGGGCACTATACCAAGCTACCTGGGACATCGGGGCTCTCCAGCAACGAGCAGAAAGCCAATCAGACTCCCGGTGTTCTCCAGCAACGAGCAGGGTTTGACGGCGACCCCAACAGTACATGCCTCTTGTGGGATTGGATTCATTCACCGGCCCGTTGCAGCTGAAAAAAGGCTGGCCACTGCATATGGGGTCACGGAATCACGTTGAATCATTGTCATCTCAAAGCCATTTGTATGCATCTGCCGTCGAGTCCAACGGCCCGTCCTTCGCCCACATACGCCCACATGGCATGGAAGAGTGACATACTACATCGACACGGACGGACGGGCAGGCATACCATCCGTCACATCAAGTAGATCATCAGAACTCGTCCTGAGCGCAAGCAAGAAGGTGACAACAAAGGCCCACAGTACAGTGACCAATGCACCACTTGCTGATTCCCGCCCCGCCAGCATGTGTGGTCACAGTACCTACCATGTGTTGGTCGTTGGCTGCGGCAGCGATGTCGCATTGGTCGAACACCGACTTCTGCTCCAGGGCCTTGGCTATCATGGCCTCCAGCTCCTCACGAGTCACCTTCTTCCTATCAACACCACCACCGGCAATACCAGCAGCGCTGGACGACCCACCCTGCACGTCACGCAACAAACGCAACGTTCGATGAGTAGAACATGTGTGCGCCCTTCCTTGATCCATCCGTGCCTGGACGTCGGGCTTGGCGGCATTGGTGGCCTTGTCCTTCTTGGCCCTCTTCCTCGGCGCAGGGGGCTTCTTGTCTTCCACAGGGGGCGGTTTCTTGGGCCGCGGTGGCGGCCGGCGGCCCTCCTTCTCAGCCAGCAACTTCGCAAACAGCCAGTTGGCGTCGTCTTCATCATCGTCTTGATCCGCCTGCTGCGCCGCCGGCTTCGGCTGCTCCTGTTCCTCCTTGCCCCGCTTGCGCCTGCTGTTGCCCTTGTTGTCTGCCTCAGAGGCCGCTGCGGGCCTGGGAGGTGGGGCTGGCAGTGGCTCATCAGGCGCCCGGCGCCTGGGTTGGCGGCCGGGGGCTGTCGGGCCGACCCTGCTGTTGAGGACCCACCGCCACTCCTCGTTGAGCTTCTTGGCCAACGAACCGACACTCACCTGAATGAAGGCATCAATCAACGACACGACAGGGCGATTGCCTGGCTTGCGTCAAGTTGTGTGTATGGTGTTGTGTTTACCTACCGGGTTGGGGTGTTCTGCCAGCTGCCGTGTGGCCTCGAGGAGCTGCTTGTCCCCGACGGCCCGCAGGTCGGCCTCCCGTGCGATCCCGCTAGCGTGCAGCTGCTTCAACACCGGCCCGACCACCAGCGAATCGGACTTCTTGCCGTCCTTGGAACAATCCAGCAGGCGCTGCAGCAGGCTACGGATATCCAACCTACCCCCCACCCCTCCCTCACTGCCCTTCTTGGCAGCGATGGCGGCCGACGGGCCCTTGTTGGCCTGGACGACGGGCATCCTGGGAGGCGGCTGCTTGGAGGGGGGGTTCTGGCCCTTCTTCTGGGGTCGGTGTACTGGGTCGTCGTCATCTGAGTCCTCGAGCTCAATCTCAATGTCGTCGTCGTCATCATCATTGAGATTGTCCTGCGGGCGGGCGGCGACTTGCTCGGCAGCTGAATGGATGCACGGAGGGGAAGAGAGTGAGGGTCTTTGTCGGTAACTAGTGTCTCGGTCACCCACCTTTCGGCGGTGCTCTGATGGGCATGTCCTTGCTGTGGTGATACTGCATGGTCTGGAGGATGATCCGCTGGTACGCGTGGTCGGGACACATGGAGCCATTCAACACACTGACCACCACACACACACACACAAAGGGACGTGTTGACGGAAGAGCATCTGGTCGGTTGGACGCATCAGCTGCAGAGATGCGCTTACCTGTCGATGGGTTTGTTGCATCGCTTCTTGCCCTGGCCAATGAGGCCGCCGCAAAACGCCAACGTGCTCGCGTCGCCCAACTGCATACGTCCCCTCCACACACAAGAGAGAGCATTCTCCAAGGCAGCCAGATGCGTGTGTGTGTGAGGGAGTTGCCTCACCTTGAGAACAAACCTAGCATTGTTGACCTTGAGACTCGGCACATCCGCAGAGATGCTTCCGCCACAGAGCGTGTCGGGAGCACGCCCGTCCTATGTATAAAACAAACATGAATGACCGGTCCGGTCCACACACAACACAGAGGGACATGACAGACACAATGTAGCCGTGGACTGGACCCTCCCTCTGTTTGCATACCGACCGATTCACGTCGCGGCATGATGTCTGGATTGAGGAACGCCCAGATGCCGCCTGGCCTGGCTGACTCCCTGCCAACAAACACATACACATACAGATGGCTCTTCTGCAAATCTGGTGTCGGCTTCTCGAGAGGCGTGTCTTGTCTTACAGGCGCCGATATGCGTCGTCAAACATGAGCACCGTGGCGCAGTGGCCGCTGCATACAACAAACAGGACGGGGCCAGACAGACCAGACCAGCGTGTGTAGCAGGAAGATAGGTGTGTGTTCTGTGTGGTGTCAATACCGCAGGTCCGTCAGCTTCCAATGCAGCATCTTGGACCCTGAAGATGGGCGCAGCACAAGTGGAGGGAGAGGTGTGCCGCAAGACGACAGACACATGGGTGCCGCTCACCTCCGCCAGTGGTTTTGATGGCGCCCCTGAAGTAGAAGACCCCTATGATCAGCCAGTCGGCCATCTTGTCCGCCACATCTCTGCTCTTCTGCATGGACCAGTGCAGTGCAAACACACAGACACACAGACACGGATGGCGCCATACATTGGCATTGCTGCAGCAGCTATATGCCCGGTGGTGTGGTGTTCTCACTCACCATCTTGTGGAGCTTTTCGAGCGACACGAACTGCATCCCCTGAGCCTCTACGTCCCTCTGAAAGGCCTCGCCGGACACCTGACGGTTCCTGACGTCACAGCCATCACATACACACCACGCCATGAATGTATGCAGATCCGTCATTTCTGCATGATGAATGCACAGCCGCTCTCACTCGATGGGAATGCCAGTGAACTTCTCACGGTCTTGCTTCGGCTTGGCCGCCCGCTGCGCGCCTCCCCTGGGGCCCTCCATTTCGCCCTCGCCTTTTCCTCAACAAGCAAGCTTGCAAGAGCGAGCTTTTCCCAAGAGAGCGGTTTCACGGAAAATCCGAAAGATTTTGCCTTCTCCCACGGAGTGCCTGTGATGAGTTGGTTCCGTTGGAAGTTGGTCTGGTCCACCAGAACCAAGAAGCGACACTCGTACTCGTACAGGAAAGTTGGTGTTGATGTGGAGGCGCCTCCCTCGGCCTCCGACTCAGCCTCGGAGGTGGTGATATCCGTCGATGACGCAGGGGGGAGAGGCGAAGATCTCGTCGGACCTGTCGTTGCCGTTCCGCTGCCTGCTGACATCTACTCTGCCAACATGTTTCCCCTGCTGTCTGTGGGTGATGCTGTCAACGTGCGCGCAGCCGGGAGGACACTGTGCAGGCTAGTGGATGAGGCGTCCCTGATCCGCCGCATCGACAGCTCCCTGGCCAGGCATCAGCTGAGAGTCACTGATGAAGGTGGTGTCCCGCCCCTCCCTGCTTCACTGTCGCGCTTCGTCTGTCTGTGTCGGTGTGCCCACATCATCGAGCGGACTTGTTCGTGGCGCCAAATGTCGGCTGTGGGGCAGCTGGCAACTGCCTGTGGTGTGGTGACGACCAGCCCGCTGCCAGCGGTAACGTCGGCTGAGTCGATGGTTCCTCGTTATCTCTCCAAGACGGCGACGTTCTTTCGGCTGCCCCACGGCCACACGCTCACGAATGGGAACAGCAATGGCCACAACACGCTTCTCATTGGCGACGGTGAGAACGGCGCCGGCAACACGCCCACCACTATGGCGATCGAGCAGACGTCCGACAAGGAGGAGGTGATGCTCATGGCCGGCTGCCTTGACCGGCTGGAAGGCCGCTGGGATTTGCTCCTCCTTTGGCTCAGCCTGGCCTACACGGCGCGGTTCGTATGGTTGACGGTTATCCATCTCATCCATTTCCGGTCCATCGTGGTGAACGATCCCGACCACTTTTTTAATAAGCATTCTTTCTGGCTCGGCTTGGCGGCGCTGCTCCTCGTTCATGCAGGAAGGGTTCTGGTGGGCTTCATTTCGGCCATTATTGTGGCAGGCGGCTTGTCTGTGCTGCTCAAGCTGCGCCTGGAAGGACTGGCAGCGAAGCGGGCCATACCTTGGCTAACGACGAGCTCGACGCGGTTCCGTGTTGTCTTGCGGGAGGAGATGTGCAGCTGGCACCCCTATCGGCAACACTACGACAAGACCGACCCGCCCATCCGCTGCGGCCTCCTTCTCTATCGATCCTTCTCGGCATTCTTGAGCAAGACCATTCTCAATGGCCAGCGCGGTGAACAAACGAGGCTCCTTGAGGTCCCGATGAACGTGGGCAACCCGCGTCATGATCGGCTAATGTACAGGAATCACGACATCATCGCTGCTGCTGAGGAGGGCGTGCTTGTGGCTGACCGGCTATGTGACCTTGGCGACCTACATCGGCAGCCCGACACATGGCCCTACACGGACGGCACGAACTGGCGAATGATTGTCTTCCTGCTCGAGGGGAGTGGGGGTGCATCCTTTGTGGCTTCCATATCCTTGAGGAGGGACTTATCTGTCAGACAGGTACCCTTCGGCACCATCGAGATCGATACCACCGAGGTGCCGGTGGGGGACGGCTGCAATCTCGACCAGCGGTTCCCTGTGACCATGAGCCGTGTCCGGGCCTTCCTGCGGCGATTTGGCCTCGAGCAGGGTGTCCTCGGCCACCTGTCTGATGAGGCCAGCTAGGTGGCCGATCTGACTGACACAGAAGTAGTGCGTGGGCTGATCTCATGTCTTTTTGGCTCATTTTGCCTGTCATTCTGCTGTGGATGTCATTTGTGTGCCTGCTTCATGTCATGTGAGTGAGTAGCGAGGCAGGCGGCTAGCCTGGCTGTTCTGAGGAGGCTGCTCTTTGAACTGCGAAGCTTCCTTCCACCTTTCTGAAACATGTGTGCTGCTTTCTCGCTTAGGGGTTGTGTTGTGCGGTGTGGACTGCCTGGGCTATGCTCATTCATGTGTATGTGGCGGAGGGTGCTGGTGAACGATGATTGTGCATTTATCTAAATGAGTTGTGTTCCACACGGCACACAAGCAGCATGACGCAAACACGCATTCATTCAACGAGGGGCTGATGAGATATCTCATACACCGGTGACACACACACACACATACGGACACCAGCTCACATCACATCTACATTCCTATGGGTCTCCGTCTTTCCGCCGGAGAGCTTCACACCGCCAATAAAGCTTCGCTACTGCATCGGCCAGCCGCCGATAGTCGTCCAGACAGTTGTACACATGAACTGCACACATGAGACACACACAGACACACACAGATACAGAGAGGGAGTACCAACCAACACGCACGCCTGCCTACTGGCCGCTCCCTTCCTCCCTCCCTCCCTCCCTCTCTCCCACTGACCCTACCCGATATACGCACATACAGGCACCCTTGCAGACTCTTTGCAGGCACTTCGATGCCCTCCGCCCAATAAAGGTAGTTCTGCACACTCTCGGCGTCAGCATACTCATACACTCTCCCCATCCCGTCTCCCTCCGGCAGCTCGCCCACACGCACGTCATCAGCACAGCTGTCGAAAGCATCTCGGTTGACCCCGTATGACGACACGTGCCGCCGCAGAGTGGCCGTGTCGATTCGGGGCAGCTCGACAAGCGCCATGGTGGCGAGCAGGTCAATTGGCACTGGCAGGGATGTGCGCCAGGATGATGTCAGGAGCGAAGTGGCCTCATCGAGGAGACCGTGGAGCCTCACGCGCACGGCAGGGGGGCCCATCCTTCGCCAAAATGCCTGATGCCACCACACACGCATTCGAAGTCACACACGCACGCACAGACATTGCTGCACTGAGCGGCTGATGCCTTGTTATGCCATGCCCCTACCCACCAGTGCTGCATCGAGCGACAGGTATGCACCGACGTCCTGCAGGCCTGCACACAAACACACACATCAGCAGGGCAGGGCAGGGCAACAGCAGCATGAACGACCATTCTATTGGTTCGTATCTGTCTGGTCTACGGGCTGCGCGGACCGGTCCATGCGAAAGCTGACGAGAATCCTGAGAGGTATCCATGCGAGGCCACCAGAGGCCGCATGTGCTGCCGGTGCGGCTCAGCCACGTAGAGAAAGGCCGACCCCTTGGCACCACACAGCCACTTGTGGCAGTTGCACGCCACCTGACAGACACACATGAGAGAATACTTTGGACTCTTGACTAAGTGGTCCAACCCGGCCTGATAAGCTCCACTTACGAAGTCGGCCCCAATGGTGTTAATCCGCAGGTCCGTCTGCAACAGCAGGTGGGCACCATCCACCAGTGTCAGAAGGCCCTCGCCACACACTGTTTTGGCCATCGAGATGAGGTCCTTCAGCGGCAAGACCACAGGCAGATTGGAAGGAATGGCATCGATGAGAAATAGAGTGGTCCCGCCCTCGGTGACAGAGTCATACAAGTCCTTCACTTGGCGCTCCAGACCCGCCATGAGCTCCTCCCGTGACACAATCGGCATCGTCACGTCGATCTGGTGCATTTCCACGCTCTCGAGTGACCTCAGCAGCTTCATCGTGGCCCCATACGTCACATTCAGATGGATCACCCGCCGCAGCCCCCTATCCACCAGCCCCCTGACCACCGTGTTGATGGCTGTCGTCGCGTTCGGCACCAGCACGAGGCCGCGAGGGTCACAATCGACAAAGGTCGCCATCTGCCGCACGACATCGACATAGTGCAGGAAGAATCGGCGGTCGACGAAGCGGACGGGCTGCCCCTCCATGTGCTCCCGCCACGCGGTGGCCTGCGCCATCACCGGCCGCAGCACCGCACCGAACGCCCCGTGATTGATGAAGGTGAATTCCTCCTCCAAGAAGAAATGTGTGGCCTTCAGCGTGCTGGCGTCGCATTGGTGTGCAGCCCCACTGATGAAGAAGGCCTCTGCGGGGTCGGGGAAGGGCAGCAGCCGCCGCCACTCTGATACAGGGACGGCAAGGAGCTCCTCGACTGAATGCAACGCAGCACATATGCTGTAGTGGCTGAAGAGATCTTGCCATGCTATCCAGTCTGTGTATCCGTACCATTCGATGAGTGGAAAGACCCAAAATCACGTCGAGCGTGCGGAGAGGTCATCGTTTGTCTGTCCTAATCAAGATCATCGGCAACGGAGGAATGATATTCGCTTGCCGTGCTTTTCATTTGCTTCTCCCGCGAGCTCGCCTCCATCACGATCAGCGCGAATGAATGAGTGACGTTCGACGATTGATTCAGCCTCTTCAAAGAAGCACGAGCCGGCTGCTTTCGACATTCACTACCATCAATCATCCCACTGCGTGAGGAAAAAAGGTTCAGCCATGAAGGATCCCTCCGGTGAGCCACCTGTCACTGCCAAGGACGCGCCAGAAAGCAGCGGCACTCAAGCAGACAAGCCCTGGCGGATCAACGTGGGCGGCTGCACCATGGAGTTCCCTCGTGAAGTGCTGCTGCAAGATGGCCTCAAGGACACACGCCTGGCTGTGTTGTTTCACCGCTTTGATGAGTCGCTGCTCGAGGACACCGACGGCATCACCTTCATCGACGCAAACCCGCACTACTTCATCTGGTGGGCGGGAAGCAGCCCATGTTGTTTGATTGACATCCATCCACTGGCCGCGTGTCTGACTCTCTCCATCTGTGTGTGTCAGGTTGGATGTCAAGTTGGGTTTTCTCAAGGCGGGCTGGATCGACGACATCAAGCTGTTCTCTGACGACTGCCCCGTCAAGGCCTTCTACCACGACCTGTTCTTCGCCAAGACGACACTCAGTATGACGCCACAGAACGACCAGGGCAGTGAGGCCTTCCAGAACTTCATGGCGGTGATGGGCCGCTTCATCAAGTCATCGGCGGCCAGAGGGACGGGCGGCTATAAGGTGCTGAGTGCCGTTGTCCATGGCACGACTGTTTCCACGACGGACGCCACTCTGGCGGGACTCGACACCTTCGGCAGACGATTCACCGAGTGAGTTGGGGCAAATGAGGAGGAGGGAAACGGCGCAGTATGGACTCTTGTGTGTGTGTGTGTGTGTGTGTGTGTGTGCAGGTTTGCGGCACCCGTCACCGACGACAGTGTGCCGACGGCCACCTTCGAGAAGTAAGGCGACACATCACAGGCAGACAGAGGGCATCTGTGGGTGGCCTGGCCTGGCTCTCTCACAGGGTCGTGGATTTCGTCCGCCGCCGTCGCCTGGCCCCCGAGGCCGTCACGGCCCTCCCCATCGCCGACGACTGGCCGCAGCTGCTGAGTGCCTTTGAGATGTACGACCTGATGGAGTGTGTGTACCTGACCATGATCGGCAAATCCCACAGCCGCATACGCCGCCTCTTCAGGTGAGCACTCGCAGCAGAGAGAATGAGAACACACAACAGACAGGATCTGCTCATGTGTGTGGGTGCGTCAGGAGTTCTCAGCATGGCTGGTCGCACGAGGCTCTGCTCGACCGAGTGGCGGGTGCAAAAGGCGGCCTGCTGTTCGTCATCGAAGCTGAGTGTGGGCCCGTCTCTCCGTCATGGACGCGACTCACCTCCCGAGCAGCCTCTCTGTTGCCAGCTTTGCGCGCTTGGCTGACGGGCTTTTTCTCTCGGGTCTGGGCCGTTTCGCCAGCACCATGTCAGTCATCGAACACGTGTGATGAGAGTGAGGTTCGCCACCACATCCTCGCATGCCTCATCGACGGCCCCCTCATCGCGCCATCCGACCCCACAGCAGCGGTGCGCACCGGCCGCCTCACCACCTTCTACTCCATCAGTGGTGCGTTCAAGGACGAGGGCATCGTCAACATCGCAATGCCGGACGACCAGCATTTTGTGGAGGTCGCCGCCACACAGGGGGCGGTCAAGGGCAGCGACGGTGTTAGCAGCGGCAATGTGGCCATCGGCGGTGGCCGCCTGTGGCTGGGGTATGGGGTGGATTGTCGTCCGGGCCCCGATATGCGCAGCTGCGGCCACTGGGTGGAGAGGGACGAGCTGCCCGCCGGCAAGACATACCTGGGCGGCTACAGCAGCACCACCGGACGGGCCACTCTGGCGGGCAGCCATCTGTTCACTGCCCAGCGGCTGGAGGTGTATGAGGTCAGTCAGACATCGACGAAGGGGGGCTGAGTTAATGTGTCTATGATGGACCGTTGTCTGTCTGTCTGTCTGTCTGCAGGTATCGACGACTCGTCCGGCCGAGCCCGTCCTGTCTGCTGCGAAGCTGCAGGAGCTCATCAACATGACGGGCAATGCCAATGCGACGCCGAAGCTGCTCTACAAGTGTGTGACCAGCACACAGACAGAAGCAGTGGTGATGTCACTGAGTCGCTCTCTCTCTCTCTCTCTGTGTGTGTGTGTGTGTGTGTGTGGCTGTGTGTCAGGGGTGCGTGTGACGGCTGGATGTACCCCACCATGCTGGCCAAGGTGGGCACCGCCACCACTCTGCTGCTGGTCATCAAGGACACCGGCGACCACGTCATCGCCGCCCACCTCAACGGACAGCTCAAGCAGCCGGCTGACGCCACGGCCGTGGAGACGACCAAGTGCCCCTTGGCCCTCTACTCGGTGTGTGGCGCCTTCAGCGAGGCCGACGGCATCACACACATCGCAGTGCCGGACGACCAGCAGTATGTGAATGTCGCCCGCACACAGGGGGCAGTCAAGGCCACCAACGGTGTTGCCGTGGCCGGCTATGTGGCCATCGGTGGCGGCCGCCTGTGGCTGGGGATCGGGGGGCCGGATGGTCGTCCGGCCGGGGACCTGCGTCGCTGCAGCCAGTGGATGGAGAGAGACGAGCTGCCCACCGGCAAGACATACAGAGGCAGCTACGACGACACCAGCGGATGGGCCCACCTTGGCTGCTGCGCAGACCTTCACGTGTGTGGACATGGAAATCTACGCACTGCAGCGGGTGAGGCAGACAGACAGACAGCTGGATGAGACGGAAGCCAGACAGGAGAGAAGTTGGGTTCACTAAATTTCGTTCATTTTGGTTTCCTGTGACCTCCCTGGTTGGCTTTCAGGCGTCGGCCAGCACGTCGACCGGCAGTGGCTGAGTGAGTGATTGTTCCGAGGCCTGCCTGCCTGGCTGACGGATTGGGGAGGAGCAGGCAGGTCAGTGTAGGTCAGTCAGTGTAGGTCAGTGCTGTATCTTTGGCGGTGTGCGTCATGGCTGGTGGAGAGGGAGAGACAGAGGGAAGGGAAGGAGAGGGCACATGGACTGTCTGTGTATCTGTGTGTCTATGTGCGGCGACACAGTGCCTCTGGTGTGGTCGACTCGCTCTTTAGACCATCCTTCCTTGGTGTGTATACAGTAATTCTGTGTATCTGTTGTCTGTGTGAGTGCATTTTATCGCATCCGGCAGCCGGCTACATTCATCTGTTGAGTGAGTTTAATTGCTTTTCTGCATGATGGTAAGTACGGACACTTTATATATTCATTGGATGATGAACACCATCCATCCCTCATACATTCAGTCAATCACCTCGATCCACAGCGTTAGGGAGGGACGAGTCAGACAGACATCTTCGTTCATTCATTCATCGACAATTACAGCGAGCGAGCGACTCAGATGGATGGATGGATGGAAGGAGTAGCACATTCATGCCATGCGGTCATGCATTCATGCAGCATTGCATTCCTGCCTGCCTGCCTGCCTAGGTAAGTAAGTCAAGGAGGGAACAACCCAGCCCGCACCAAAACAAGATGTCCCTCAGCTCACGTGGCCGGCTGCCTGACCTGGATGGATGGATGGATGAGGTGGCTAGGGCCTCAGTCAGCCACACAGACAGGCAGGCAGCGTCTCCACTATGTGTGCATCCATCTATGGTCCGCCAAACAGTCAGCTGCGTAGCAAGTCAGCTGCTGCCGGCGTCAGAGAGATCGACATGGAGCAAGTGAAGCAGAAGAAAACAGACAGCATCAGTCAGTCAGCAAAGAAAGAAAAGAATGAATTACACAGCGGAGACGCCACGCCCATGGCGTGCTCATGTGAGTCCCAGGCCGCCGTCGTCCCTTTCCCTCCCCCGTGAACTCTCGGCACCCACACCAATCCTGGGCCATACTGCACCCACACATCCATACAACATACACACACACACACACACATCCATCGAGAATACTCAACTGGTCGTCTCTCTGTGTTTCTTTGTCTTGCCTCTGACAGACAGACCTGGTCCCGGCGAGATAGCTCCGATTCCCTCCCCACCGACAGGCAGTTCCGAGAGGGGTTTGACCCTGACGTTTCCCTCATTGAGGTCGTCCTCCGGCCCGCCCATGCCGTCCATGTCGGTGCGGCACCTGTCGCCGTTGAAGGGCGGGGGAGGCCGCATACGGTGGCTTGGGTGGCTCGGGTGCGTGTGGGATGACGTGTGGGTCGTGTCGTTGGGGTTGTCGACCGTCACCTCGGACAGACCACGATTGAAGGGGGCCATGTTGCCGAGCATCGTGGGCGGCTCCTCATCGCCCTCTGAATGATGGACAGCGGTCGAGAGAGCACGGAAATCTTCGTTGCTGTGCTGTGCTGTCTCGTCTTGCGTACCGTACCCTTTTTGGCTTGCTCTCTTCGCTCCTTGTGCTGCAGCTCTTGGTACACGTCCACGACCGTGGGGTGGAACCACCGCATATAGGAAGTGAAGCCTGCATGAAACAGACAACACACCCATACAAACAGAAAACACACCCATACATACATACAGGTGTAGCTGTTAGTGTCTGTGTGTGTGTGTGAGATATCGGTGCGTACCGAAGTGGGACATGGACGTGACGGCGAGGATGAGGAGGAAGCTCAGCCAAAAGGACGGCAGCTGCACCAAAGCGGTCGCCTGCACACACACACACACACACACACGCACACGCACACGCAGGTCGTGGATTGGGCGTCTGTGTGTGTGTCAACATTCCGAAGTGGGTATGTACGTGTCGGTAGGCGGTATTGAAGTCGATTAGGTCGTACACCATCATCCAAAAGAAATACACCAAAATGGAGGCTGCACACACACACACACACACACACACGAGGACGGTGAATGAACACAAAGGTATGCGAACACACACATCACGTGTGTGTGTGTGAGGCGTACCAACGATTGTGAGAATGAAGATCCACGACCAGTGCCTGATATATGCCGGGAGACACACGTCGGGTCGGGCAGGCATACTCGTTTGTCAATTAGGTGGATGGATGATATGTATGTGGTCATCTCCCCCTCCCTCCCACCCCATGCACCTCATTCGTATGAGAACGTTGACGGTGACGACGCACACGCACGACATGTAAGTCAACAAACTGTGGTACCAAAAGTCTGAGAATCCACACAAACACACCCACACACCCATCCATCCCTCCATCCATCAACATGTGCTATCTCTCTATGTTGGTATGCCTGTGTGTACCTCACCTTCGGTGTGACCCCTGTAGTGTACGATGTCGCCCAGGCCGTACATGGCGATGAAGAAACACACAAACGAATGAGCAAAACCCTGCAAACCAAACCAAACCACACACATGGCGGCCGTGAGCAGCCAGCCGTATTGCGGTCGTTGTTTGTCTGCGTGGTACGGTACCTGTGTCCACGAGAGCAGTATACAGTGACGGTTGAAGAGCAGATTGCGCTGCCCAACCGAATAAAACTTCGGATACTCTCGCCGGATCTCCTCGCCCATGTCGGGATTCACATCCTGCTCTGCACACACACATCACATCACATCACATCACATCAACGAATGGATTGCATGGCCGGCTGTGTGATGTGATGGTGTTGTGTTGCTGACCGAACATGCCCATGGCGAGGACGGGCAGAGAGGTGAAGAGGAAGTTGTAGGTGGCGATGTACCAGTCGTCGTAAAACGACTTGGCAGAATAGGCTGCATGCCAAGCCAACCACACACACACACTTGTGCACTGCACAGGTGTCCCCGTCTGTGTCCGTGTCCACTGCACTGTCAGACCCGAGTAGAATCCGAAAAGGAACTGCGGCACGGTATACGTGATGTTCTTGTAAAAGAAATAGGATATCAGCTTGGCCAAACGAACGTACGACCACCTGCAGGCGCACACCAGTGTGTGTGTGTCCGTGCATGTGGGCCTCATTCATTCGTTGTTTCATTTACTTACCGTCCGTGGACGAAGAGGAGCCTCTCCAGGAACCTGAACTGTGCAATGGCGTAGTCGCTGTTCTGCACAGCCTGGTTGCCTGCACTCAAGAGGCATGCATGGCACAAAGATAGTGTGTGTCAAGCCAGGCTTGTCCGTCCACTGGGAGGTCGAGTCGGGTCGGCAGGCTCCTCACCTTCTTTGCCGAAGACGCCGATGCCAACGTGCGCCTCCTGAAACCAACAAATCACATATACACACACACACACACACACAGAGATGTAGGAATGCATCCGTGCAGGTCAGGTGTCTCTTTCCTCTCCTTATTTAAATGACTTACTTTGAGCATTGGCACATCGTTGGCACCATCCCCGATGGACAGAGTTATCACCTCAGGCATGCGACTCTGATCGACACACACACACGCAACGCAACGCACCATACGCGCATTCGATGTCCGTCTGCTTCCATCCCTCCATCCCTCCATGCCTCCCTGCTTACTTTGATGAGGTGCACGACCTCGGCCTTCTGCGACTTCGTTGCGCGACAAACCACAGCGGCCGCACAACTGAATGCAACGGCAAGAAAGAAGTACATGTGTGCATGGCATGGTGTGTGTTTGGCTGCTTTGCTTACGAGACAGTGTGGTGGAAGAAGTGTTCGGTCATTTCAGGGTCCCGGAACACCTGCTCCAGCGACCGACCGCTGATCACTATGGCGTACTTGCCGTCATCAGCTGGGCGCAATGGCATCAGTATCGCCCTGCAAACAGACAGACATGACGATATTGCGGTATAATTAATGCTTGTCCGTGCCGTGTGGTGGTTGGTTGGTTGGTGGCGGTGTGGTCCCTCACTTGGTTTGGTGTTTGTTCGGCGCGTCGACGATGTCGACGCGCATCTCCTGCATGTCCAGCAGCCGACACGACTTGGCGATCTCCACTGCTGTGTCGAGCTTGTCACCTGCACAGCAAAAAGGGAACAGACAACGGCAAGCGACGCGTGTACGTGTGTGTGTGTTGCCGTGCTGTGCTGGCGGATCATGTGTTGGCACTACCGGACCGGTGATCATCCAGACGGATATGTTAGCCATCCTGAGTCGCTCGATGCACTCGGGAACGCCGTTTTGGATCTTGTCCTCAGTGCCCGTGGCCGACAGCAACATGCAACCCAACTCGATCTCACTGTACAACTGATCGGTGCGATGGGTCAGATCAACACACACACAGAGAGAAAGAGATGCGCATTTACATTACACGGGAGTCCATCTGGATATGTGTGTGCGTGTGTTTGCGTCTGTGCAGTGCATACGTCGTTGAGCTGCCGGTCCTTCTCCTTCGGCTCCAAAATCGTCCCGGCAACTGACCAACACACACGCACGCGAGTATGAGCAGTGTGGCATGGATCAACCAACTCTCACCCACCTTGAGCCTTTCTCCTCCACTCCTCCCAATAGCTGGGCTGTTCACACAGACACATACACGCAGGTGGATGCATTGCTTTCTCCACCTGTGTGTTTATCACGTGAAGGGGTCGTGTGTGTGTCAGTGTGTCTTACTTCGATGGTTTTGCACCCGAGGCAGAGAGTGCGGAGGCCCAGCTTGGAGTAGGTGTCCACCGCAGCCTCGATGCGCGGCACAAAGTGGGACAAATGGGCCGGGCACTGCGGCAGCATCACGTCATCCGCACCTGTAGGCATCAACACGTACATATACATGGATGGATGGATGGATGGACTTGTGTGTATACTCACCTTTGCTGTAGAGCGTAATGATTTGTGTGTCTGGGTCCCTGACGATGACGGAGGATCGTTTCCTGGAGTTGGAGAACTTGATCAGCCGCAGCAGGTCGAACTCCTTGGTTTTGGAGCCGTGCCGGATCTGTAGCGTTAGGTGCTCGTCTGTCCGCCCTGCAACACACACACGAAGCACAGATGTAGAATGTGTGTGTGTGTGTCTGATATGTGATTGCTACTCACTCCAGAATGTGTAGCCCATTTGTCTCGCTGCATCGACCAGGCACACCTCATCAGGGGACAAACCCTGGACAACCACAAACACAGACACACACTTGTACACCCATCTGTTTTTCTGTGTGGGGGGCATGTGTCCAATTCCCACCCACCGAGTAGATGAGGAAGCCCTGGTCGCCCTCAGGTGTGACGTCTTGGCAGAGGGCCATGCAGAGGAGGAAGTGCTCCACCACCTGGCTGTGGTGCGTCAACACCATACCGTTGCCCAGGTCCATCCGCTCGTCCAAAGCACGCTCAGTCGTCAGGTCTGACACACAACCAACGAGCCATGCATGATGTGTGTTGATGTGGATCGTTACCAAGGTGAGTGTATATGTATATGTGTGTGTACCGTTGATGAGCCACGAGTCGTCGAAGCCGAGTGCGATGTCCATGAGGCGTGACGCCCGCCGCTGGTCGTCGCTGTACGTCCGCGGCATCGGCGTGAAGGTGCTCTCCTCTCCACCCATACCATATCTACACACACGCGTGAATGGGTGCTTGTGTGTGCTGTGGATGGTTCCATGGATGTGTGGGTGTGTACCTCCTTTTGCCGACGGTGCAAGCTCTGAATTCCATCATGTTGGTGGTGAGTGTGCCGGTCTTGTCGGAGAAGACGTACCGCACCTGACCCAGCTCCTCGTTGAGTGTGGATGTCGACCAGGAAGCCCACTGTAGACAGCGGGGCACACACATGGTCGCACACAAGTTCGTGTGCCTGGTGTGTGTGGTGGCCCACCCGCTTTGTGGCTCCTCCTGATCTGTCCGTCTCGATGTACATCATCTGGATGTCCCACCCTGATTCGATTCATGCAGCCGGAAGGAACATAATATGCTTCGGTCCCTATGTGTGCCTGGTGTGTGCATGTTTGTGTGCGCATCGACCGAACCGACCGATGAAGAGCGCCTGGACGAATTTGACCATTTCGATGGACACCAGGAGCGAAATGGGGATCATGGTGTTCATCAGCAGCACATAGGACCAAAACGTCAGCGTCGCGTAATCTGCACCATGTCAACCAACGAGCAGGAAAAGAACCAAACCAACATATGACAACCACCACTCGTCCCAAGTGCGGATCGGATCCATACATCCATACCCTCTAGCTTAAACTCAAAAAGGCCGTCGTCCAAATACCAACCATCCCGATTCCGCTCCTGCACACAACACAACAAAACACAACACAACACGGGTGTGTGTGAGTGAGCGACACACACAAGGGACCGGCACGCATGAAGGCAGGTCCGGGAGTTGCTTACGTGCCAAGCGAAGTTGAGGAATGCCAGAGTGGCGCACACGCATGCCTGGAACATCATCATGCTGAGGACCAGCCTGTTGACCATCCTGTCCATCGCAGACAGCTTCTGCGGCGGAGGAGCCTGGCCCTTCATCACGCGCGTGTCGTGACCTGCACCGACACAGACAGACAGGCATCAAGATGGCAAAGTGAGTGTGTTGGTTGCCTGTCTGTCTGTCTGTCTGTCTCGTGTGTGTGTGGTTGTGCGGACCCACCGGTGAAGACGACTGCTCCCAATATCCAGTCGACGTGGCGAAGGTAAGACTCCTAAACACATACATACCCATGATGGACACAGACACAAGTGGATGCGATGCGTGCGAATGGTTTTCTGCTGCTGTGTATGCTCACTCTGGGGAGGAAGTTTTCGATGGTGACGGGGTACCTCTCCTCGGGCGACGATGCCGTGGGCAGGTACAGCCGCGCGTCGAAGTCCTCCAGAGAGCCTCGGGGCTCTTCCGTCTCAAAGCGGAGACCTGAACAGTCGGTCGATCAGTCAACGAATCAGTCAGTCGACACACTTTGTATGTGTTTGGTGGTTGGTTGCTTTGCGTACCGACAAGCTGATTGTTGTTCATGTCTACCGCCTGAGGCAGCACGGACCGGGGCTTCAGGTTCGTCTCACTGCAGACCAGACAGTGACACACACAGAAGGACACACAAACAAACAACAGACCAACAATCCGATTTCTCTCTCTGCTCGCGGGAGGTATGTAAGAGTCACACACCCGTCGAGCGAAGCTGTCTGTATGAAGCACTTGCCGTCGGACGTCGACGACTGCAGCAGGATCAAATCCGCCGGCACAGACTGATCCATCATCACCGGAGAGACAGAAAGATAGAGATGTGAGCGTGCGCAACACTCCGATAAGTGGCTATGTACTCATAACGCTGCGCACCTCTCTCCCGAGGACCTGGATGATATCCCCCACTTGAACATCAAGCCTGCGACCAGCAAATGATAACGAAGCATCAATCAATGAGTCAGTCAGTCAGTCCATCCATCCGCAGCACGTGCATACGTACGTACCATCTGGTCTCGACCCATGTCTGGTCCCTGAGCACCCTGGTCTTCTGCGAATTGGTCCGCCTGTCAGACCGGTGACGCCGCTGACACACATAGACCACAGACACACTCATGCAAAGGCAGATGGGCGGTTTGTGTGGGTTTCTGTCCGTTTGGGCTTTGCTTACGATGTCTTCTGACCCCTCTCGGATCATCGACACCGACAGCACGAACAACAGGGGGACCCACGCAGAAAAGGGCTGCAGGGGAGAGATGTCGGGGACTGAACACACAAGACACACAGACACACACAGACAGACAGACAGACAGGGAGAGAGAGATGGAAGAAGCACTGTGATTGGGAGGTGGGTATGTGTGATCTGCCCACTTGTTTGGAGGATGGCAATGATCAAGAAGTAAAAGTTGGCAATTTGCCGAAACAAATGAAACAAAGACTCTGCAAACAGACACACACAAGCAGCCCGTCCGTCGGCAGATGCGCATCACGCCGCCCCGTGCACATGCATGCAGGTGTCCCACAAGACACCCACAAACACGCACACACACTCAGCCACCCATTCATCGACCCATTGGCTTACTTGGCACAAAATTCCACCATTCATACTTGGACGTCTTGATAAAGTTGGAGCAGTAAGGGCCCTTCTTGATGTACTGCTCCTTGAGCACCATCGCTCGGAACTTCTCGCCATGCTCGTGGATGGACCCCTGCCTGCCGAGGCCAAAGGGATAGTTGGCGGCCTTGAGCAGCGCCTGAACCGACTGCAAACACCCCCATTGCTTCGCCCACTCCGGAAACATCACACCCTCTGGTCACACAACCACAGCTGCTGCCCCAGAAGTCCCTTGAACGATAAAGCCGAATGGGGGCCTCACCAAGCCAGCCTCGACTGATGCGCTGGTGCACTCGATAGCCTCTCAACGATGAGAATCAGCAGAATGATCACTCGTCGCAGGCTGGAACCTCCTCACAGAGCAATAAGTGGCTGTCCACTGCGTTTCATCGACATGAACACCTTCACTCGGCCTGACGCGGAACGGAGAACGTCTCAAGACAACAAGGAGGCATGCGAACACTTTTGCGAGCTTGCCGATCGCTTTCTCTCTCCCCTATGCGCGTGTGATTCGCATTCTCAGCTGCCATTCACTCGGGCGCAGGTGCCCGTCTGCGAATCTGCGTCACTGCTTCGCCGTCTGTCTATCATCACCTTCTGAGTGCCGCCATCCCACCATGCGGTCCCTCATCATCTTATGCGCGCTGGTATGTCTCGTGGCGTGCCCCGCCGCCGCCCAGGACGACGCCCCGCCGTCTTGCCCATCCGAAATAGCCCAGGCCAAGGAGTTCGATATAGAGCGTCAGAAGCTGGAGACCGCCCTCGAGAGCGAGAAGAAGGCCAACAAGGAGCTCAAGGAGCAGCTCAAGTCGCAGATGAAACTGCTCGAGGACAAGAAGACCGAACTGGAGCAGTTCGTGACCCAGACCAAGGCAGCCGCCAGCAAGGCGTCCGAGCAGGACGCCGCCAAGATCGCCTCCCTCGAGAACAAGCTGGGCCAGGCCAAGAAGGAGATCAGCGACATGGAGCAGACCATGGCCGCTGCGGCGCCTGGCAAGAGTGCGTCTGACGAGTACCTGTACTCTCTGGACCAACTGTGGGATGACGCGAGCGAGATCTGCCTGGTGGTGCTGTCTGTGGGCAAGTACGCCTTCGATGCCGTCAGCCAGCGCATACCGCCAGAGAAGGTCGAGATGGTCATGACCACTGTGTCCGGAACCGTCAGGCCCCTATTCGCCATGGCAGAGAAACAACTCGCGGTAGGTAACGGAGGCAGGCACGAAGAGATCTCGGTGCCTCTGTGTGTATGCACCACATCGCTTTTGCCTGCTGGCTTGTCTGTCTTCGCGTGTGTGTTTCAGGGCGCGAGCAAGTTCTACAGTGACAAGATGGCCCCCCACGTGGAGACCATCAAGGTGCGATCGCTGCAGTATGCCGGCATGGCGGCCACCAAGGCGCAGGAGCTGCAAGCGACGCACGGCCAGCCGCTCCTCGACAAACTCAACAACTCCATCGAACGAGGTAGCCACACACACACACCACACACACACACAGCCCAGCCCACACAGACATGGTTGCCTAAATACTTGTGTGTGTGTGTGCGTGTGTGCGCGTGCGTCCATGTGTGCAGTTCTTGACGGCAGCGGTTTCTTCCTGGCGTACCCCGACCTGCGGCCGCTGATCCCCCCCAGTCTGCCAGACAAGGCCCTCTCGCTCATCTACTTCTGCCTCATGGCCTACCTCCTCTGGCTCATCCCCCTGCGGCTCGGCTGGAAGCTGCTCACCTGCACCCTCTGCTCGGTGTGCCGGTGCATGGGGTGCGCCAAGCGGTCGGCAGTGCAGGGCAGGGGCAGTGGCGGCGGCGGTGGTGGTCAGGGGTCGTCGGGGCCGAAGGGCAACGGCAAGGGCGGGAAGAAGAGATACTACAACGACCAGTCCAAGAGCAAGGGGTCTGGCGGGGGGTCTAGTGGGCAGCAGGCCACACAGAGACAGTGAGGGATGGATGGGAGATGGGCGAATGAGGCGGACAGAGGTTGGGTTTTATCAGTCAGTCAGTCAGTATGCAGGCAGGGCGGGCTAAATGGCTGGCTGGCAGGCAGGCCGACTGTGTGTGTGAGGTATGTATGTTATGTATGTACACCTTATAACCACACACCGTATGTGTCTGTCCGTGTGCGTTGCGTACATACCATACATACCCCATCCACATATATACATACATACATACATAGATATTGACTGACTGGTGGGTGGTATAGGTCAGTCAGACAGTGTATCGGTCGGTCCGTCGGTCAGTTCATCCACCCGTCCGTTCATCAGCCAGGCCGTTTGTTCACATAGATAGATAGATAGCGTCTCTTTGTCTGTCAAGCATCAAAACATCTTTCCGCCCGCTTTTGTTTTTAAGCAGTGGGAGTGGAGTAGGCGGCAGACAGATTTGGGGCAGGCCAGGTCCATCCCTCCATCGGTGCATTGCAGCCATCTTGCCAAGTGTCGTGTGCTTTGCCGGGTTCGACACGGTGGCTGCCCTCGACGAGGCTGGCCGGTGTGGTGTGCCAAGGAGGTGACGTCACACCAGTCGGCTCGGCTTCATCAGGACCAACCACCATACGAAATCCGACATCAGGGCCATTCTGTTTGTGCTGTCTTGACTGACGTATTGTGTGCTACCTGCCTGGCTGCCCATCCGACATACACACCCCATTCCTTGCTGGCTGCTGTTGTATTGTCTCTCTCGTGCAATCCTTTCTCACCAGCCAACCAATACACAGTTAACTGTGTATTGGTTGGTTGGCTGGTGAGAAAGGATTGCACGAGGGGGACAATGCACCAGCAAATTTGCCGGTCCCCTTTTTTGCTTTTTTGCCTTGTCCCCCTATCTGCTGATGCGATGCGTTGCGAACAGAGAGAGATCGGTGGGTGAATCGAACAATTCAGTCGATAAATTTAAGAAGGACACTTACTGACTGCCTTGCGTACTCACTCACTCATCCCCTTGCTGACGACAAATGAATTCATGCCCGGTGGCCGTTTTTCGTCCGTTCGTCTGGCTGCGTGCGTGTGTGTGTGTGTGAATGTGTGTGAATGTGTGTGTATGGCTGCATGGCTGCCTGTCCGTCCGTCCGTCTGTCTGTCTGTCTGTCTGTCGTTTGTGTGTGCGTGCAGACACTAGGTTGGCGTGTGTGCATGTTGGTGTGGACCTCCGTATGTGGCTTCCTTGGCTGCTGGCGTGCAAGGCTGCCTTGTTCACGGCGTATTATGTAAGTCCAGCAATGCAATGCACGTGTCGTCCACTCGTCTGTCTTTACGTGCATCACAGAGACAGCACTGACTCTACTATACACACACACAATGATGGCACCATACCATCCATTCATCCATCCATCTGTCTGTACAATCTACGCCCGAATCCACACCAGTGACATGGAGGGGTCGGCCCTCTTGACGGCATCCAGCAGATCCATCACACCCTGATGACCACACACGTCCGTCCTCAGTGTCTCACTCAGTAAGTCCATATGGCATCCATGGATGTGTGTGTGTGTGCATTCACACCTGTCTGTCCATTCCCATGACGGTCTGGATGTAGTCGAGGTGGTGCCGACCCTCACACATACTGCAGTCAGCGACACCACGACCAACACACACATCCACCATCCAGTCCTGCGCGCATACAGCTTTCCTCCCTCCCCTGACCCACCTACCTCTTGACTTTGGCGGCCCGTGAGTCCCTGCTGTCACTCTCCCCCACCCCAGTGCTGGCGCCTTTCGCACCAGCCCCCCCACCACCAGCAGCACCGCCACTGGCCGCAGTTGTTATGACGGGGTACTCATGCACCCGGTCGATGAATCCGTGTCTGCGGCCGAAGGCGATGAGGTGCCGGGGCGACAGGCCGTAGGACGACAGCAGGGCAGCGTTGCGGCTGCAGAAGTCGTTGAGATCCTGTCAGGAAGTAACGGCATGCACAGGACAGGACAGGTGCATGTCTGCCTGTCTGTCTGGCTGGCCTGGTGATTGTGTGTGTGGGTTCTTTTACCCACCCACCCCTGTTTTGACGTGAGTGCCCGACTCGCGGATGTCACAGTAGAGGCGCTGCAGCAGACACACCGGGATGGGACGAACTGACAGACAGACAGACATGGTCACACACACGCATGGATCGATTAAAGACGGACTGATGAATGCATAGTGCCTTGGTGCGCACCTCCCTTGGCAGCCAGACTCTTCTCGACTGTGGCGAAAATGAGTAGGCAATGACAGACAGAGAGCATTCTAAATCGCCGTGCATCCATCAACACACACGATTGAGGTTTCGTCCGTCGCGCAGCGCACCTGATGGGCCGCCGACCACATAGGCGGGCGCCTGCTTGCGTATGGCGGGGTCGGCGAAGCACGTCAGGAAGCTATGGGCATTCAAACGATATATGTTGGTCATCTGCAGCCGGCCAGCATGAAACACATGACTGACACCTGTGGGTGAGTGGTTTGGTTGGCTCACTCACGGCGAAAGTGTCGATCATTTTGATGAGTCCGTAGTAGAGCAGGTGCTGCAGACACTTCTTGACGTCGTTCTCCTCCACCTGACACCGACCTGCCGGGCAGTGAGTGCAGACAGACACGCAGACACAAATGACTGACTGACTGACTGACGCATGAGCTCATTCGTGAGTTGGTCAGTTAGGTCACTCACGTACGTACGTGCAATGTCCCGGACCGACGCCATCCCGTCGATGAAGGGAAGAACCTGCCAGGCCAGGCATTCCACACACAGCTGTTAGTTAGTTGGCTCCATACACATTTGTTTCCACTGACTTGCATGAGGGTGAGGTCGAGGTCGAGGTGCATGCTGCCCATCTGCCCGCCGCCACACACCAGCTGCGTCAGCTCCACCAGCGGCAAGGGCACCTGAACAGAATGAATGCCACACGGGATGTCCTCTGTGCGTGAGTGTTTTGGCGGCGCGCTCACGCACTTGAGCGATGGATATGTCCTGCGGCGCTTCGTGTGTGGGGCGGGCCACGAAGCAAACGTTGTTCCATGAGTCTGAGGATCGGCAAGGGATCAATGGGCTCACGCACTCCACGCACTGCACGAGTGTTTGCCAAGTCAATGTGTGTGTCCGTACCAATGTGCAGGTGGCAAATGGTGGGCTCTCCCTGCCTGTGGCTGTTGAGCTGCCGCCTCAGCGTGTGCAGCGTCCGGCCGATCCAATCCTCATTCTCGATCTGCGACAGAAAACTCACCTCAGTCTGCACAACAAACAACATGGGATGGATGGCACACACACACAGACAGACAGACATTCCTGCACGTGGTCTGTCTGTCTGTCTGTCTGTCTGTCATTCACCCCCCCCACCTCAAGAGAGTGGAAGATGGCGGCGATGTGTATGGCGATGGATCGGAACACGTGTATGGCCTTCTCGGTGGCGTCGACGATGAGGCAGAGGACGTACTGGAAGTTGTTCCTCGAGTACGTGTGGCCCTCTATCTGCATCGGCACACCCATCACACGCCAGTGGTCCAATCGCCTACACATCACACACACACACACACACAAAACAGTGTGTCGGCTGCTCCCGATTGGGTGCACATGTCTGTGTCCGTTTGTGTGTGTGCAGCATACATTGAGATGACTTTGCCGTTGATCTCGCGGTTGGGGAGGAAGTACTTTGATATCAGGTGGAACTGACCCTCGAACACACTGACCCACCACCAACACCAACATACAGCACAGGAAAAATGGAAGCATTCATCCCGATGTGTTGGTGGGTGCGTTGTGGTCACCCCGGGGGGTCTGTGCACACGATTCTCGGTCCCTTCTCCTGGTCAAACTTGCAGTACATGAGTGCGTAGATGAAACCACCGCCGCCGTGGCTTTCGGGATGATCTGAACTCATCACGCTCCCTCACACGCGCATACACGGCCCTCTGAAGGCCTTCCACAGGCGGATCTTTTTTCACACAAATTGCGAGCTTGATTGCGAGCTTAGCCGGAGGGGATCGAATCAAAGATCTGGCTTCTTCGCGCTCTGAAGGCAGCCATGTGGGTCATCCTGACACTCACTGGATGGACTCTGCTCGGCCTGTTGGCCGCTGGCGTCATCCAGCTGTTCCTGCGGTTCCTCCTCGCATATCTGACTCGCTACAGATACCGTGCCATCAGACACAGCATGGCGTCCAGATGGACCGGCCTTGCTACTCTGGAGGCACTCGACCAGCGAAGCGGCCTGAAAAGGTCAGTCACGGTGACATACAGCCGCTCCGGGACAAACGGCTGAAGGACTTCGCGTGTGCGTGTGTGTGTGTGTGTGTCAGGACCTGGGAGAGGATGCAGAAGCTGTACAGTGCGGAGGGCGGCTGTCCTGACCTGGTGTATGCCGGCATCAACGTCTCAGGGAGGTGGGAGAGCAGCACTCTGTTCTGTCACCAAGTGCATGTGGATAGATACGTATGGCGGCTTCCCTCTCTCTCTCTCTGTGTGTGTGTGTCAGCCACGAAGTCATGGCGATGAGTCCTGAGGCCGTTCGGCAGGTCACCTCGCGCGACACTGTGGACTTTGTCAAGCCCGAGACATTCAAGAACATGATTAGCCGCATCATACCGCAGGGACTGGTGGTGTCAGAGGGTGACGAATGGAGGTATGTTAGGCATGACGAGACCAGACGGCAAAGCCATCGACTGGAGAGTGATATGTGCGGTGTTTCAGACATGAGAGGAAGCTGCTGACACCGCTTTTCCACTACGCCCAGATCCGTGACGTGGCGCTGCCGGCCACAGTGGCGCAGGTCCACAAGACCATCGCCCTCATCGAAAAACGCCGCAACCAGAAGGACACCGCCGATGACGACACCGAGGCCAAGGGGAGCAGCGTCAGGTGGACTGTCGATGAGGGCGGCAACCCATCGACCATCGCTGTGGATCTGTTTGGGCACCTGGCGCTTGGCGTGGTCATCGACGGGATGTTTGGGAGCGATCTCGACAGGGAGTGGATGCATTCGGTGTGGAAGGACCTCTTCACGGCGAACTATGGGTATCATTCCCCCTTGCCACCAGAAGAGAATGAAATAGGTGCACTCAGTCAATAATGATGGCAATCGTTCCATCCCTGCCTGCAGGTATCTGATTGGCAAGTTGCTGCTTGGCCGGCTGATGGACTACCTGCCGCTGCCGCCCACAGTGCGGATGTTGCGGACCATTCGTCAGATTCGCAGCACCATCCAGAGGCTCATCGACAGAAGGAGGGAGGAGACGGCTGAGAAGGGGGATCAGGCTCAGGACAAGGGCGACCTCGTTACGGCCATGATCAAGGTGGGAGCGAGGGAGTTGGCATGTGAAGGGCCTTGTTTGAAGGAGAACTTGTGTGGTTGTGGTTTTGGTTGGTGCAGGCGAAGGATCCTGAGACGGGCGAGCGGCTGCCGGATGACCTCATCATATCCGAGGCACTCACCATGCTCCTCGGTATGCTGGCAGTGCAGCACACACACACGTCAGGCAAAATGCCCCCAGTGACTGCAGCATTGTTTGTGGCGGTTTCCTTGCTGCGTCTGCAGCTGGGCACGAGACGACGTCCACCATCCTGTCGTGGCTCATGTACTTTGTCGGCAGACCTGAGAACACCCAGGTGCAGAAAAGGCTGCAGGAAGAGGCAGACCGAGTGCTGCAGGTGAGCTGCCAAACACACTATGTTTCAACCAACCTTTGATCGGTGCTGCGCACCTGTGTCTGTGTGTCGGTTGTGTGTGCAGGGTGAGGATCCCTGTGCCGCCACATACGGCCAGCTGACCTACACCCAGCAAGTGATGAAGGAGGCTCTGCGAATGCGCCCTGGCGGCGTCCAGCGCGTGGCTGTCAGGTACCCCCACACGCGCACACACGTGTCTGCAGAAGGACGGCGGTCGGTCTTCCTGCGTGTGTCCAGGGACGTCGAGATATGTGGTGTGAAGATCCCCAAGGGTACAAATGTGATTGCCTTCTTCATCATGCCGCACCACCACCCCGCCCACTACCCACAGCCACACGTCTTCGACCCGGACCGAATGGACCCGCAAGGACAGTCTGGCTGGAAGGGCGACAACAAGACTAACGACGCTCTCTACGCGCCTTTCTCGGCCGGGCCAAGGGCTTGCATCGGACAGCGGTTCGCCATGCAGGTCTGTGGTGTGTGGGGAGGGCTAACTGGTGTATGTTTCTCACATGTGTGTGTGTGTGTGTGTGTGTATGTGTGTCAGGAGGTGGTGGTGACGATGGCCATGCTGTGCCAGAGATACCATCTCGAGACGGACGAGACAGAATGTAAGCCACCAAGCCTGCACGCACCTTCTCTCTGGTCGGTCACCGCATGGGTCATGTCCCCTCCTCTCTGTGTGTGGACACGATGTGTTGGGTGCGGTGCAGTCATCGGCGGTGTGCTGAAGCCCAATGGCCTGCGCGTCAAGTTCATCAAGCGGGACAGCCATGACAAGGAAGAGGGCAAGAAGGATATCTGATAAGGGCCGTGTATGCCGGAGTGTGTCCGGTAGATACGACAGACAGGCATTTAGGTGCATTTGTTTGAGGTGTATTTGTTTGTCGTGTGTGCCGTCTGCGGGCGATCAAAACGGCTGAGTGATTTGTTCGGGGCTGGTGGGGGCGGGTGGGAGAGGCGGGTGAGGCAGTAGGTCGTTGTGGTTCTTTATATATGAGGCCCGTTCGTTACTGTGTGGTGCGTGTCGTTGGGTTTATCAAGTGTCGTCTCTCTTGTATGGGTTTCTATCAGTGGATGGTTGGATGCATCGTGGGCAGGGGGACCATGGAGGAGGACAGCTGAATTTCTTTAAGCTCAATCGACTCCAGACGGTCTCTTGGGCACACATGAATGTGCCATAAAAGGGCGCGACAGGTTCAAGATAGCAAAAGCCTCACTGATATAAAATGTAGACAGCGGTGCCACCATGTCGCATTTGAGACCATTGGACTCAGCCACAGCCAGCAACCGCTGATGCACGAGGCCCCCGATGGCTGCCTGCTGCTCATGGCCGTCGTGGAAGCGGCGGACTGCGCCTCATTGTTGGATGATGCGGTCGATGCGCTCAATGAGTGTGTCGAGGGGCTGGGTGAAGGGCTCCTCCTGGGGGCGGACGAAGGAGAAGCACTCCTTGGCGATGTACAGGTCGTTCAGCTCCTCTCTGCTGGCCGTCCTCGCCCGCTCCTCCCGCTCGATGGCCGCGTTGATGGCCTGCATCATGCCGTTGTGCATCTGCTGCTCCATCCGCAGGCCCTCTCCCTCCAGCAGCTTCTTCTTGCCCTCCGTGGTCATGAGCATGTTCTTGATCTGCCGCTTCGGCACGGACCACACGCTCACGAAGTTGCCCGGGGGATACGGCTTCAGTCCCGCCCAGCCCTGGAAGCGACTGGCCAGCCGCTCATAGCCAGCCAAGGCAGCGAACGCCACCCCCACTACCACCCCGTAGCTGTCGGTGCCTTGGCTGTCGGGCTGGAAGTGCTTGTCTCGGGCGAGAGCGAGGCGGTAGTTGAGGGGCACGTAGCAATCGGGGGTGCCCACCTGACAGTGCAGCCGCTCCGTCGTAACCTCATGGATGCACTCATGGTCGATGTGCCGAATGTCGAGGGCCGGCGCGCTCTCAGCGCTGCCCACAGTGCCGGTGACCATGAGGTTGTCTGGGTGCATGTCGCCATGCAGCAACCTCATGCTCCCGCCCTCCCGCCGCC